GACAATATTTTTGCCCCTCTCTTATATCGGCCAAAAGCAAAGCTTGATGTAGCCTGATAACCAGCCCATTATTCTAAAGGAATAATGGGCTGGTTATCAGACTAAGCTTGTTACGTTTTGCTTTACACCCCTCTGATATGATACCTTTTTGAGCAGTGTTACTCGAGAAGATCCTTCTTTTGTTAAAAAAGTATATGTTCTTTAAAAAAGGTATATGTTCTCATGATTGGTATCACACAATCAATGCAATCTTGTCATTATCGTTAAAGAACTGGGTATTTGCATCCATTTGGAGAAAGTTGTGTAATTTTACACCTTTAGCCCCTCCGGCTACAGCTTTGCTCTTATGTCTTACCAAAATTGCATGGAAAATATTACTCGTGAATGCAGAGAATCTAATAACTTCAATTCCACAAAAGCCGAAGAAAAACAGTATGCCAGGCCTGTAATCAATAGGCTTATCTTGCACTTTTATTCAAGGATTAGTTTTGTTCCAACCTCTGAAGAATCTGAATGCATCAATGCCTACGTCTGCATACTGCTGTATCAATGTTTTTAATAAGAAATTACTTAGAACTGGAGGAAATTAAAATGTTGATTTACATATTTACTAATTAAAATATGAATTAACCATTTGTTTGCGAAGGGGTGGGAAAGCAAAGAGTCACTGTAATCGGAATCAAGCAAACAGAAAGTTGACAAAAGCAGGTCTTATGTAGAAAGAGTTGCGATGCCATCAAATATTTGACAACTGAACAACGACTGGAAAGTATCATTGTTTCCAATGCTATGTGCACCGTCGTAGGTATTCACACAGAATAGGAAATACGTATTTTTTATTCTGTGGTGTTCACAGCCTTTGCAAAAGTGTGTGGTCAATCGGAACCATTTCAGCATGCCGTAGTAAAGGCAAGTACAACTGGTCAAGATGTGCCTAAAATCTTGCATGCGTTACTTTCCAAAATAATCAAACGTATTTTGATCTGTAAAATGTTGACAATTTTCAGGCTTTAAAAATGCAAATATATCTAGCAATTTTCTGAGATAAAAGTAGCAACGTACACTTTGGAAATGTACTAAAACGGCAAGGAACCTAATTGATATTTATAGTTTTATCTTTAGGTGGGTTGGGGGATGGGGGAGGTCTGCAGTTTCTCAGTCATGGTCAAACTATGTTCGTTTACCTTAATTGCAGGGTGTTGCAGGGTCTGCTCTCATCAGACTTTCAATCCTGGATGGCAAAGGTATTACATTTATTATCTATCTAATGTCCTCCGGGGCCTATTGTTTATACACTATCGAGGAATTTCATGTACTTCAGGAAAAATATTTTCATTTATCCATTGGATCAAATAATATTATAATGTAATACTGCCTTAATACTATCGGCTTCTACAGTTTCCAGCAATTCCACTAATGAAAGCAATATATCTAAGAATCTCTCCATTTCTAACGGAATAACGGTTTACAGTTGATTTTTTCAATGGCCCTTAGGACACATACCAAGAAATTGAGGATATCTCCGGGCCTGTTTCCTTAATCTTTATTCATCTCTGTCACTCGTTATATTTTCCTGTCTGGATTACCTAAAGAGAAACTGGCTGATACTCTCAAACGAAATCCACTTATGAAGGCAACGTATTGTAGATTTCCAAAGAATATTTTTGTACATTGTTCTAAATGTCTTGATTTCGGTCCCATTGACGTCATATTCAGTCCATTCAATGCCATTCTATTCTTCTTTTATTATCTGCAGCAGGAAATAATATGCACAATTCTGAAAACAAGTTTGTCTGTTTCAGGCCCCGTTTACGATACCGGCTTTACTTCATTTTGGACTCGTTTCATACCACAATCATTCTAGTTGCCGACGTAGAAAATGCTACAAAGTTTGTGCTATCTCTTACAAAAGTGACAATACTAAGTTGGTATTTGATTTCATACAATTTTGATGACATTGTCACAGCCGATGCATTATCCCTCCAAAAATATATTCAAAATGCAGGAATCGGCTGAAATTCAGCTGCTCTGGGTACCAGAAACAGAGAACTAGTCACACAAAAAAATGTTTCCTTCCCATTCTCCGCATCCCACTCATTCTTTGCCACCGCAGCCGCATCTCCCTGGATTCGTGAGGCTCTGGTACCCAGGGTAACATCCATATAGACAAGACGCCGAGGTAAGGAATATATGAGGTAAGGAATATATGATATTTCCAAAGAAGATAGAAATGATGTATGATTGTTTCCGAAAACGCTTAAAAGAAAATTGGACATTTCCGGACAGATGATTGCATTGGGCCATTATTCATTCCTAGTCGAATATCCAAAAGTTTTCCTGAAAGAAATTGTCTGGTTATTGTTCCAGACAATGGAAACAAGAGGACAAATAATATCTTCCACTTACTTTTTATCGCTTTTAAAAAACAAATTCAATTATGGATTTAAGAATCATTTAAATTTTAGGTTTTACTTAGTTCACATTATTTAGTCTTCTAGCAAGTTCCCACAGTGTTAGCCTGAGAAAGATTTTTATCGTAGTTTTGATCAAGCTTTTGTAAGGAATTTTACCAGAGTCTTCACGGCTAATTTTCGTGAGAGTAAGCCTTTAAAGACAAAATTCGAAGTATCACAAACAAGTTATGTCATGATTTCATTGAATTTTAAGGGAGGATTGAATGGTTTGGTTGTTGGGAAGGTGAACGCTATTTGGCTAAAGGGAATAGATTTTGATTTGACTGTTCTGATTTGATTCGGACGTTGAAGACTTAGAAAGATAAATAGAAAAGCGAATATCCGGATTCTGAATCGTTCTTTGGGACAAGAATAGCTTTCCGTTAGACTATTTTGCCCGATTAATCATTTGTAAAGCAAGCAAAAAAATACCTCCGGCCACTTCAGAACCATGCGAGACGGTGGCAGACATAAGGAGGGCCTTTGGAGGGCTCAAGTTCATCCATTGTGCATCCATTTTGGAAATTTGGGTTTTCAAACACCCGATTTCATGTAAAGTCTTTGGTCTTGATGGTAAACCTTAGGTTTGAGCCCCCTACCGACCTCCCAAAACAAGAACCTTAATTTCCGCCAATAATTTTGGATCGGGTTTCAAGCAACTCGATTTAAAATTTCATGTCATCTCCAAAAAAGGTGCAGGATCTTACACTTAATTTGCCCCTTTGCCTCTCAGTTTCCGCAGTAAAAAATTCCAACTTTTTAACCTCTTTTAAAAATTAGTAAATCAGTTACTACAATCAAGAGGGTTTCGATCTAAAACCCTCACAGAATACGTGTCCGAGCTAGTAGCATGCTCAATGTAGGCTTACTCTGGTCTTAACTTAGCCAATCAGCGTACAAATAGCTTTGGCTAAACCAATCAAATCACAAAGCAGCTCTTTTCAAATCAGCATTTTGTCAGCAGTTTTGACGATAGGGCACATTAGTACAACCAGGTATTTCTTTCTCAAATGTCTCATGACACGTTTTTCTTCAAACTTTCACCGTCTTCTGGTTCGATACCGTCTTATGCCCATAAGAGCCATGAATGCTCCTACAGCACAATAAATTATGCGATGTGAAATCAACGTCATTGATTTTAACTGCGCATGTGCATTTGATTCAAATTTTGAAAGCCAACGGACCTTCGAACAAATGCATTGCAGGTTCGTTTCCCCAAAAATCAGCAGCTTCGACGCTAGTGCATAAAACTACAACTATACTGCCTTTACAAATCGGAGTAACCAATCTCGATTAAAATATGCATTAGGCCTTTGGCAAAGACGAAAGATAAGAAATAAGCTTTTGGAAGGAAAATTTAGTTGAGAAGCAGATTATTCAGTTGGATACCTCTAAGACAGTAAAATGGTATAAGGTTGTTTCTAAGAATTATGAGGGTTCCTTTCAGTTTTAAAAACTGGATCATTGTCGGACACTTTGAGCTCGATGTGAAGCGCTTTCCAAAGTTTTGAGAGGCAGGGTACCTTTGTTTGTGATCGAAAGAATTATGGGGTAGTAAAGAAATAAAGGTTTCTGGCTTAAAATTCTATTGGCCCCGAAGTTAAAAAGGTGATTCGAAAAAGAAGATATAGACATTTTCAATCCAGATCGGTGGAAAAGCCTTTATAAACGTGTGGCTGTCAATTTTGCATAAAAAAGGAAACATCAACAATAACCGGGCTGTCTGCTGGATTCTCAAAGGAAAACCTGCCATGACGTAATCGTACGAAAAACGGAAAGCAAGGATGTCGCTGTTTACGCCAGAACAAATCAGAGGGTAGATAAAGGCAGTGTCCGACATTGATAATTTTTTAACAAAACACCTAAGTTAATAATCATGAGACTTCGAGCAGAGTTTGTAAGTTTCCATTTCTAGTTAAATAGCACGTTCAAGCTTATTCCATGGGCTCCGATGCAAGTTGGAAAGGGGGGGGCAAGGGAGATTTTAACAATCAAAACATAAGAATTTTTAAAAAGCTCTATTGTTTTGCAAAAAAGTGGAGGGGCCAGGGCCCCCCGCCCCCCCCCCCCCCCTTCGTAGGAGGCCCTGTATTCTACCCTTGAAACCATAGCTTTAATAAGGACAAACCCTAAAAAAGGTTGAGTCCAAATCCAACGGTCTTTACTCAAGCATTCAACGGTTCAAACCAATGGAGCTTAGCCCTTATCGTTGTCTCTTCTTTTTCTTAATCGAAAAGTTCAAGCAGATTTTTTCTAGCTTTCCTTACGAGATCTCTTTGAGTAGGTATATAAACAAGAGTACATGAGCCAATAAAATAAATGTCACTTTGCGGAGAGATCTTCAGTCGAGCAAAAGGATTTAGAAACTTTTAAGGATTTACAAAAGAACAGTAAGAATAAGAGCCTCTGTCAGAAAAATGATGTGGTTTTCGGCAATTTTCTAGCTCCATGACATACAGGAGACTGGAGGGCACTGAATAGAAGATACGATCATAAAAAATAAGTTAAATCAAGTAAAGGTCTACAAAAGATTGACATCAACCATACCTGCTTTGTATAAATTCTATTCTCCTTCAAAATGTTGTCCAACCTTTTTGTATGATTGGGACATCAATAACAGACTCTGAAACAACACCAAAATCACTCAAAGCTGGAACTGATTTCATTCACTCCGACTCTCTAGCTCCTATTATCTGGCGTACATACAGCGCAGTTTCGAATGGACAATAAAACGACCGGCAACAAAGGCTGTATGTTCACGACAAATCCGGAAATCGCCCGGCGAAGGAATATGAATGCCCACAAGCCTTAGTGAATTTGAATTGAAGAGAAATAACCTGGGAAGGAAATTATGTATGGATGTGCTGTGAACACTTATTGTTGCCTGTTGATTCATTGTAAAGTGCGTTAACTTAAGAAGAGGAAGGCAAACAATGTAATGCGATAAAGACGAAATAAAAGAAAATTTAGCTGGATCAGAATATGCAAATTATTAGGGCAAATACAGGTTGTGATGGAGAAAAAGTTGTGTTGTTTAAACCAGCGTATTAAATTCTGATCAAATTCCTTTGTTTTCGAAATCCCACTAATAACACAAGTACTTAGCCACTCTTGGCACCCTTGGTAAGAGGCCCTGCGATGGACCAATAAGAAGAAGATTTAACAGAACAGCATCCCAGATTTAGGCAGAGCTGTAGTGCTAGCGGGGTAAAGGGGCTGAGCTCTCCTGTCTGTCTCAAACTTTTTATTTTGCCGAGAGCTCCCCGTGTTCTTTTTTTACGACACCAGATCCCAGGGCTTGAGTTCCATTCACACGATGCAATTTTGACGTAAAAAAGGACCGCAGAGACTAGCTTTTAGTTGGAGGTGTTAATTGATGAAATAGAGCTGGAGAGGGATTCCGCCCCCCCTCTCCACTTGCTAATTCCAAAAGCTGATGGATTTTCACTTATCAATTTATTTCACGAGGTTTCTGATTCCTATATTGTTATATGTTACCGGTAGACGACTCCTTCGCAGAGTCTTAGAGGAGAGAGGCAGTGAAGGGAACCTATTCCAAGGATAGTGACAGCCATGCATACAATCTGTGTTCAGCGAAAATTTTTCCAAAACCCCAACAGAAGCTCAGGCAAGAGATGTTCAAATGTAACACGATAACAGCTTTTTTATCGCCAGCCAATTACTAAAAAGCAACAGCCACACCCCAAACAAATAGAGCATCTTCATTCGATGATAAAGGGTCCCGAGCCAAAAGCGCTCCAAACGATATTTATATCCAAGTTCAACTCACCAAGTTCGAAAAATATTAAGGCTCTTCAACTTTTGTTCTTACAACTCAGCCCTCCCCCTTGTTTATGAAAAAAATGTCTTTTTTACAACGTGCTATCGTGTATAACATGCTCTACATCCTTGGGTAGAATTTCCTTGTAGTACGCAAAGGGGGCCCTGTCTCAGTTCATCTTTTAAGGCCCTAGGTGCCTCTGTAACCATACTGCCCGGTACACCTGTATATTCAGGCCTCCGTTGGCGGTCTTTGCGTCATTGCGTCATTTTCACCAACCAAACAAGAGTGAAGATAAAGAGTTTTGCTAGTGCATTCAAACAAGCTGCCAGCGTCATTTTGTAGGCTAAAGAAATATACGACTGCAATTCATGGACCCGAACTCCATTATTCAACAACCTTGGTTAATAAAATCGTTTAATTTGTGTCTATCTGATTCTCATTCCTCATTTAACAATAGTTAATCACACCTTGTCTGTGTCATCATAAGGTCTATACTATTATTGTTGTAATTAAAAGGTTATAAAGACGCTTGTTAGCGATTCACGTTGTCATCACCATAGCTAAAGTGCTTTCTATGTAACAGGTATTTCATAGCACTACAAGTGCGTAAAACCATTGAATCGAATAGTTGTTGTTGTGCCCGCATGCAATTCTGTGATTATTGATTTTAAGGTCGTTGTATAAAATACAATCGCTTTCAAAATTCTTGGAACAGTAACATCAGTTTCAGCAGTAAATTCAACTATTCATTTCTCCCCCTTAGAAAAATGTTGGCACTATAACAAAGAGAAGAAAGTTAGAGAGTACGCTTTCTCATCAGAGTCAGGAAAACATTACGGCCCCACGGCCACTGGTCGGAGGAAGGTTGCAGAAACAAAAGAAAATTGATGAAGGTGACCGAATATTTGGAGACTTAAGGAAAATTGAAAAATCCCATTGCCTTTGGGCTTTCAAAATACAGTCAGGCAAAATAAAAAAATAATCAATATTTATAAACCTCCTGTTTGTTAATATAAAGTTAGTTACAAAACTGCTTTGCATCGTGTAATTTAGGCCCAACATTTTTCATAATTTATATATCTAAGTTATGACACGCAGTTTTTGTTAATTGACATAAGGAGTTTCTTTTTATCTGTTGCAAAAATATCTATAATAGAAAACAAAATATAATTTTTAAAAATGTTTTGGAAAAACAGAGTTGCAGGAAAAGGGGTTAAAACTAGATGAGTACCCTCAATTTCCAGATCACGCCAATTTAAAACACATTAAAAATAAGGAAGGTTTTGTAATAAGATATGCCTGGCCGGAGGAAGATTGGCAACTTTTCTGGACTTTGTTTCTCCTATGACTTGGGTTTGCTTCTCCTATTGACTATGGGTTTGGAGAAAGTAGCAGCCTTCGGGAAAAGGAATGAAAAACATAGAAACCTGACAAAAATCACTGGATGTTGCAACTGCTTTTAGCAGGCATTGTAAGATTTAGTGTAAGAAGCTAGTGTTACTATAGGAGTTAGGCAGTTGGAAAAGGCAGATCCAAGACAAAATTGTTAACATGATCATATGTTGACATTGGTAGAATTGGAAGAAAGAGAGAGAGAGAGAGAGAGAGAGAGAGAGAGAGAGAGAGAGAGAGAGAGAGAGAGAGAGAGAGAGAGAGAGAGAGAGAGATGAGGAAGAGAGAGAGAAGAAGAGAGAGAGACGAGAGAGAAGAGAGAGAGAAGACGAGAGAGAGAGAGAGAGAAGAGAGAGAGAGAGAGAGAGAGAGAGAGAGAGAGAGAGAGAGAGAGAGAGAGACTGAAAGTATACACAAGTATAGTCTTTATTGGAAGATTCCTATAAAAAGGAGGAAAAGAGAGGTTGAACCATGGCCTTAACAGAGGTGCAAACGGCTAATGAGCCGAGGCCACTTTTTAATTTTCAAAAAGTAATACTTTTTAGTCTTTGCTATTGTTTGTGATTTATTGTCGGGAGGGCCACTTGTTCGTTTAGGTGGAATTATTTCAGAGTTCATGGAAGACAGCACTCAGATCAATTACAACGGATATACAGAACCATTTAGGTGGTTTTGGGAAATAATATTATGTGGTCGTATTGAAAGAATTTTACGAAAATTTTATGGCTTTGTCTATATGAAAAAGACTCAGATAAAAAATATATATGATTGAAAAAGGACTCGAATATTTATTCTAGATAAAAACAAAGGCAGTTTGAGCCGTTTTATAGATTTTAGTCCATAGCAGCAAGCAAAATTTTGCTTGAGGAAAACATGATCATTGAAAAGTTTACGTCGGCTTACATATATATTTGAAGCTTGAAGCAATGTTCTCATAGATATTTCATCGGTTCTCAAAACTATTGCAATAATCTAATGCTTGTTTACTACAAAGGATAGCACTGATCGTTTCGTTTTAAAGTTGGAAAATTTGCCAGATTAACTCTAGTAGCAAAACAAGGACAAATTTGTAAGTCAAACAATTAAATAAAGGTCTATTGTGCAAAGAATGTTAGACTTCATAATCAATACTAAGTAATGCCGTCATTTTTGCCTATGAAGAATAGAAAGTTATGAACTTGGAAGTGGTTTTAGATCCCCTTTAGTAGAATTTCCTGTTTTTGAGAGAGATTAAATACCATTTTGGAAGAATGGCAAAATTCAAAGCTATTGTGCAATATAACTGAATCGAACAGACACAGCATTAGACTTCAGAAATTCAGAGATTTCAACCTTACCTATTGGATCCTGCCTTTAATAGATAAAGTCTTTAAACCGTTTGAATAGGACATTTTATCCATTCATTTGCCTATCCAGACTTCCCATTTGTATTCGAATTTTCTGCAGTTCATGTTGCGTGACAATAAAATATAACATGCTTTTACCAATTATTGAATAACTTCTTCATACCTTGTTGCCTTATTCCTTTATTTGTAATTTTGTTCGTCCAATTAATACTTCTGATAATCTTGGAGTTTTTGCATTCTCAGATTTTCTCTTCCATAAGTTCGTAACCTTCTCATGTGCACGATCTAAAAACACAAAATCTAAGTTTGAAGAGATGAGCTAACGACCATGATGATCCCTTTGGTAAAGCGTAAACTGTGATTCACGGAACCTTGTAGAATTCATAGCCTTGCTGCACAATTTGCGTTTCAGATAAAGGTGTCAGGCTTTAGAAATCGGTCCGTATTGAGCTTTAGCACTTTAAGAATGGAGCGCCTTGTCATAGAAATACCGCTTTCTACACAGGTTTCATTGAACAGATCATTTGCTCAGTTGTGTAAGAAATGAGCTAATTGATGAATTTGTTCTTGAAAATGATCAGCATCCGAACAAAATGGGGGTAAAAGGGGTATGCCGCCCCAATCTTTCAGTGAAGTTTAATTCTTGCACTTCGCCCCATAAAATTGCTTTCTCGAGTGATAATTTTTCCTATTCATAAATCCCCTTCAAGTGGTGGGGCAATTCGCTCTTGCAAAATACGTGTGAGACTGCCACCAGAATTTGAAATTAAAGTAAAAGATTTCTGCAACCCTCTGATCATAATGCCGTCATGAAGGCTTTTTAAAAACTTTGGGTAACAGTGACATTAAAGGCATTTGACACAGGTATAAGTGCCTTACAGCCACTCGACCACGAGCGGTTGACCAATCAAATTTCGCACAGAGAAAAACACGTGAACAGTTTTCGCCTTTCTGCAAATTGGTGAAAACCTGGAGTAGCGCGCAGTCGTTTCACGTGAGCAGTTTTCAATTCCTTTCTTGTGCGCCTGCTCTGATCAATCTGGCCTAGGCTAATTTTGGATTCGCTATGCTTATGTATGTCAAATGCCTTTAAAGAGCTTTTGGTAAGAGTGGGGGTACCCAATATGATGTTCGGGGAATCGTCATTTTTGGAGTTGGGAATCAAATAGGCAAAGTTTATGAGCGGGATTCGGGCAGGCACCGCGCAGCCATTGGACTAGAAGAGGCTATAGCCCCCCCACTGTTTTGAAATAAAAAGGTTGAAACAATTTTGGAAAGTTTACTCTTACGGAACTTTTGTTAGTTTACTGTAACAGATCCTAAGAAGAAGCAGTTCTTCTTGACTGGGGACCCTTTTTGTTCTTTTTCCAACTTGGTTAGCTCCGTGTTTTATCACCCCCAAGCTAATTTCATCCATTTTATAGTTATTGGTATCTCTAATCGAAAATCAAGGGGACCTATTGTGTACCCTCAACTGTGACATTAAAGATCATTGGAAATGGTTTAAGATCCCCTATTGAGTTCTCTACGACATTTTCAAGGGTATTTTCTCCTTGGCATTTGCTATTGGCATCATGAAAAACTTTCAAAATTGACAAAATTATCTTGCTTTTTATGTTCTTTCGCACTTTGTATAGCGTTGGCAAATCTACAAAAAATACTTCTGAACGTTGACATTTTATGGGATATACACAGTAAAATCAGTCCAAAAGTATATTAAATGGTTTGTAGACAAAAGGGTGTCCCATGTCAAATCGTCTTTTTCTAGAGTTATGTTTTCTATAATTTCTAATTTGTTGAGGTATTCAAAGTCGAGTAAAACTTATTAAACTGATGTTAACGTGAAGTTAAACTCTAGGTTCGAAAAAGCAACAGTCATAGCTACAGTAATAGATCTAGAACAAAAGCCATTAGGTTTTTCGTAATTGAGGCAATATCTTGTATCAATAGATTATTGCTATTTTGGCCTTTGCAACAAAACGTGTGCGTGGGATAAATACCTCCATTTGCCCTCCCAATGGACCAATACAGGCTCAATTTTCCCATAGGCAACTTCTAACTGATGGTCTCTTTAACTAACCTGGGTTCGTTTTAAAGGCCTCGTTACCCTGGGTATTAGAGTGTTTTTCGGAGGAGAGATGCAAAGGGGAATGGAACTCAGTCACTTTCTTTTAATCCTGAGAACGTTATGAAACTGACACCAAAGGCCAGGGGGTTCAAACAAGTCTTGTTTGTTGAAAAATTGACTTAGATCCATAATATTTTGCTATCAGCATTTAAAAGAAAGACATCAATTCAATAATACGGAAACGAAAAGGGGGCTTAATCGTTAAAATAAAACAGCTTCTATTGAGAAACTCTTCCAAGAGCCAAAAATGCATCAATTTCCTAGGGACAGGCACAGTAGAGTGTTGAAAAAATGGGGGTGTCATAATTGAATAAAAGGAGGCCAGGCTGATAGTTCATTTCTTAATTCTTTACTATCTTGGCAAAAATTTAGGGGCTTAAGCCCACCCCATTGCCTCCCTGCTCCACAATACCTAACCATTGCCTCCCTGCTCCACAATACCTAACCATTGCCTCCCTGCTCCACAATTCCTGCTGCTGATCAGACTGGTGTGATTAGGCACGTGATGGTATGATTGATATAATAGAATGAATGTCCCCTTAGTGCACATGTTGTTGTTGGTCTGGAATACGGTAGCATTCCTGTGTCCTTACCAGTCCGCTATTAGGCTCAGTCCGCGATATCAAGCAAGTTTTTTTGCATGCTGTTCGTAGATTTTTTACTTAATGTTACATAAAGATGGTAAATATTAGTTCATAGAATGACACTCGCATGAAAAGCCATACATATTCCCATAGAAATTCAAACCAGCCCTTTGGGCCACTTTAATGTGCGAAATAGGCGATATTGGTTTTGCTTTTTTAGCCGCAAATTCAATTTCGTACATAGAAACAGAGTTACAAAAATATCATTGAATTCGGCATATCAGAAGCAAAAGCTTTGGTGACCTTACGATATAGAAAGTTTACTCTGAGAAGCTTTGCTGCTGAGAAAAAGGATTTCTAAAGAGGACTTCAAAGTAATCAACTGCTTGATAAAGAGGCCGCGATCCCATGGCACTGCGAGGTTATTCTTCCATGTGTACCCATAAATAGCACAACAGAATGCCCAAAGTCTGCGAGTACATTTTAAATAGAAAACATCATTTTCAATTTCCTCCCGGGTGATGCCAATTCACAGAGCTATTCCAAATTTTGTTGTACGTGCTGCATTCAGTTTTGAATAGATTGATGGGTTTGAAATAGTGAAATAAGCCCCAAGGTTGAAAATTTCATTTCAATAATTTTTTGTAAGAACTTTAGAAATGGGATCAATATCAATTTTCTTAAATTAATGTCCATCTTTGCTATCCATATCAAACGATTTTATGAGGTTGTAACCTTTTTGGTAGGCTCTTCATGGATAGTTAAATCCCACCCTTATCTCTAAAAGGGTAGGCAGGGGACATCTATTTGGCTTGATTCGAGAAACAAGCATAAATAAAGAAATAGCTAAGATATCTTAGAACCACCCAGCAAACATGACGCAACTGCAAAGTAAGTTGATTGGTGTGTGGAGGACACTTAGACAGTGAAAGGGGCTGATTTCTCAGGGGCCAGGCCCCACCACGGCATGAATGAATGTAAAATGTATTGCCGTTCGTCAGTCTAAACTTAAGTTAACATCTTTGCCTAGCTAAGGCAAACACTGCATTCACATGCTAGGCTGGATTGCGTTCTTTTCTCTACCCAGCTAAACTAGAGCAGTAGCGTAGCCAGGGGGCAAAAGGGGAGGGTGGGGCAGTCGCCTCCTAATGCTTAGAAAGTTGGTGTCTGAGAAAGTTGCAAATTTGCAATAAAATTAATACCTCAGGGGAAGGGGATTGAAATTTCAGACAATATTAAAACGTTTTACAAGACTGCAAGCAAACGACTGTAAGAAATATTCTGAAATGCATTTTAGCTATTCTAAAAAGCGTGGTCGCAAAGATTTTCTGCTCGCTTCGCTTGCAGGGGACCCTCGCTTGTACCTATACAGAATGTTTTACAATTTACTTTCGTTTTAGGGTTTAATACTTAAATCCTGAAAAATAAGATTCTGAAATGCCTGTCGGGGAAACTTAGCAAGCCTATCTTAAATTTTCGCCCCCATACTTGGGCCGTTGTAATCAGTCACAAAAGTTATAGGGAGGGACTACACCCAGGGGCGGATCCAGCCTGGATTCTGACCTATGCAAATGTTGTCAGAAAGAGATGACACGCCCTTTTGTGTTGGAAACGCAAATTTTTTTGAATAAAATCGGTATCACTGATTTTGAATAGGGGGTTCCGAAAAAGTATTCTAAGATAAAGACTCGCAAAGAATAAACTAAATTTACCAGCGAAAGAAAGAGCGTTTGAGTTGCCGACCCCGATAGGATTCGAGCCAGGGTCCCTCGCCTTTCGAATTTCCGAATCAGTGATTGTCTAATTTCATTTCATTGGTTACAAAAAACAATCGCATAGGTCCACTGTAAACAATTGCATAGGTACTTTCAAATTAAAAAAAGATTTAAAAGACCTCAAGTGATCATTTGCGGGAATGCTCCCTATTTGAAAATAAAAACTTGCCTAATCTTACGAACATGACAAAAATAATCCAAAAGTATTTAGAATTATACAAAAAGGTGTGGACAAACTTATAAACTAAAGATCATAACACTACCTGCGTTACTTCCCCAGTACACGTGGGTAAATGTAACTGCTCCGAAATGGAGATTTATCAATATTTATTTATTTACAACTCGGGCTAGCTGTACCGCTGCAAAGGCAAGCTCAGCTTCTGATTCGATAAATCAAATCTCACCTATACTCGCGCTAAAGATTGCAGCGGTGAAGAACACTCTGATTGGCTTAGGTCAAACAATTGGTGATTGGCTCTCGAGCAACAAACAAGTTTCTTGACTCAGAAAATATGGACCAGATAAATTCCTAAAATCGTCTCTCGACTATCCTGTGCAAAGGCCGAAAGATAGTCAGCAAAATATATGTCCTGTCTTCCGGATGTTGTTGGTATCAGCGGGGTCAGATCTAGGACGGACGTCGCTAAAGAATTTGCCAAAGAAACTTTTGAATAAAATGAAAAGAACGAAGACTTGAAAATATGAATGATGCAACAGTTTGTTCCTGTAATTGGAGCTGTTATTCCAAAGTTATTTCTACTAAAATGTTTTGTCTTATTCTGCATCAAATGAGCTTTGGCTTTTGAATTGAATTTCCAAGGTTTTTGCAACCTCGGTCTTGAAAACTCCATGACCTGAGAAAACTCAATGAGCTATAGACAATAATATTTTTACAAGCTGAGACAGAGGAACAAAAACAAACATTTAATCCTAGAAATAAAATTAAATTTTGAATTTTCAACTCCAGCAGACCACAGATATGCTGTAATGCTTTTACAGGATTTACGGAGTTTGAAAAACAAGGATACGTCTGCAAGGGTTTATAATTTTTTTTCTTTTGAGTGCTAATGAAATTTAGGGGAAGTTGAATGGGATAACAATTTCATCATTTTTTAAACACTGTGTTGTAATGAAAAGCACCGTTATTAGGAATACAGAAATATACTAAATAAAGTATGGGTTTGAAACAATGACTAGGAAAACAAAACTGTTTCGATACACTCCATTTTTAAAAGAACTAGGTAATTTTTGCCGAGCCTCGATGTTCTTAACAGGTTTTCAAGAGTGATTTTTTGCAAATATTTGAGAAGCTACATATTGTATATGGTTTTAAGACATTTTAATGGGTAAATTTTAAGAATAAAGCATTGACTTCTTATAAATTGCATAGTTTTGTTCTGTTGACATAATTTTCAATATGCGAATTTTTTTTCAAATTTCTCATCTGGAGCTGAGCATGTTCTAGCCTTGTTCTTATTTTTAGGCAAATCGAGCCTCAGTGTTCTTATAAGGTGTGTTCTTATAAAAAAAAGTTTAGGTCTAAAGCGAATAGACTTTCCCAAATCCGTAAGGCACTCGTACTACTGCGCGGGCGAATCGCAACTGCGAAGGAGAAAATATTGGGCGAAGAAAAAGCCAATGGCTGTTGCATGGACATATCCATTGCGATTGTTATTGCCTATAACTCGAAAGATAACCAGTCTTTTGGCCACTAGGGCTCTTTCAGAGCATGCGCAGTTTGTTTTTCTACCTGTGCTACAGAATTCAAAATTACTTGCAACATTAGAAGGACATCAAAGCCTGTCGCAGCTACAAATTTTTAATGGAACGATCAAGTGATAGGCCACTGCGTCTGTCGGGGGTTTCTGGAGTAAACTGGGGAATGGGATTTCCTTTTCTCCGCACTCGGAATCGGGATTTAGGCATCTTGAACTGGTAAAACCATTATGGAACTTGGATGACCATTGCATAGGGTGGTTTAACAAAAACACTGAGAGATAAATATAAACAAAGCCTATTGAGTATTTTGCCTTAAAAATGGCTGGTAGCTGCGAATAAGAGTTCATGCTCCATAGAGGACTCCCTCCATAAAGACAGGATTTAGTCCACCGGCTATAACAGGCCTGCATTTTATCAACTGGATGTGGTCCTTAGTTGAAATGCCTTTGAGAAAATTTAAAATCGTGTTCAAAGCTACCGAGGATGTTTCCATTCCTCTAGCACACCATCGCAAGGATGTCCATAAACCCAAAATACAATTTATACAATAATACCAATGAAGGACTGCGACTTTTAAAATAACACCCAATTCAATAAACATCAAGCCTAGACTTACTGGTAGTGCGTTGTTGCGTAGTTGCTGGCCATTTTGAAAACATATTTATGTGAAAGGCCACACCACGAGCTTCAAAGTAGAGGAGCCATCAAGTAGGAAGATGTTTGTTAACAATCATTATATAGTATGCCTCCCGCAGAAAATGCAGCGGCCATGCCTTCCCTTTGAAGCGACCTTTTTGGGTCAGCATCAGTGTTTACTTTCTTCAACTCTACCCTTTGCTAGGATCTTGCACAAACAGCTATCCATTTTGCGTAGCATTCGTTCACTCGCTAGACTTCTGATGGTGAATAATACTTTCAAGAGACATCAAAAATGCCAAATTCCTACTTTTTAGTTAAAAATGCATCCTTCTCCTCCTCGTAGACATCTGGGATATTCAATGGTCACTGAGGCTTTCATTAGAAACAATGACGTTATATTTCATTTGTCAAGAAATCCCTTGTGTGGAAGAAACTACTTTTAAAGACATACCCCCCCCCCCCACCAATCTCATGGGCGTTAAATTTTTTGCTTTTCACAATTTCATCAATGGTACACATTTATTTTTCGTAAGAAGCATTTTGAGGACACATGTTTGCCACGGCTTTTAATATTTTAGCACTTATTGCTGGCATCGTACAGAGAGGTTCTGAGGAACAGGGGGAATATGTCCTCAAACTGTTAAGGGGACAACAAAAAAGCAAGTCTGGAGAGAGTACAGGGGTACATCGATTTTCATTTTGGTCACCAGAGAACACTGAAAACTCGTATAAACATTAAATATACAAGATATATCAAACTAGATTAATCTGCAAAGTGGTGTTAAGTTAAAAGCTGGTGTACATAGAGGTTTCGAGCCTACTTTCACCGTAAAGCAATTTTTGTCACCGTTCAGATTTCCCGCCAAAGTGAAGGGTGTGGTCTAAAAAAGGGTTTTCGAAGCTCCGCCCATATCTCTGAAATTTCTCTTTGAATCTGCAACTGAACTGCATTCGCTTTAGTTTTCTAATCAAATTAGACTAGAGCAAATATCAAGATCATCTTATCAATTAAGCCCGATCAATGACCAATACTCCTACATAGCAACGGTACAAATATAATTGTTAAGAGTAGCGTTTTGTAGAAACTGGTGTGTCTCTTACTAAGAATATCGTGGCCTGCGCGCAGTCTTTTGTTGCTGCTGTTGCTGTTGCTGTTGCTGAACGAGGAATATATTTCCCTTATGTCCAGTCCAGCAAAGACTGCGCGCAGGCTACGAATATCAAGGTTTCAGCTTTTATGCATTGTGACGTTCTCGTCGATGGTATCTATGCCATCTGGCAATTTCCATTTTTAGTTTGACGGAATCCACAAGCGCGAAAAATGGTCCTAATTGAAAATACAACAGTCTTGAACTATCTTTTTGTAAATGGAATTCACTTTGCAATGAGAAAACAGGTACCGCGGAGCGTTGAGAAAAATGGGCGGGGGCTGAAACCAAATAAAAAGAGGCTTGGTTGGCGATTCATTGGCTAATTATTTGCATTTTTGGCAAAAAGTGGGGGAGGCTAAACCCCCCAGCCCTCCTGCTCCGCGGTGCCTGTGAAAGGGATTTCAACAGTGAACATCTTTAAAGGAACTTTGGAGCATTGGAACAAGTGATAAGTTTAAAATAGAACATAGGAACACCGATCCTTCCGCACGACCCTCAAAACTTTGTTGAAAATCTTCCTTACAGTTTGAATGCCTGAAATTATTTGATCAACTAGTGCAAAAAACTGCTGCTCGCATCTTAGGAAATGGGTCTATCAGTCAACTTGCAGCAGAATGTGTTTGCAGAATGTGTCGTGTTTGGGTTTGCAACTACGATCAGAAGCAAGTCTGCAAACACATTCTGTTTTACCCAAAGTTTGTTTAATGAATAATATTTCAATATATTAACTTGTATGCAATTTCATAAAATGAGAGTTAATGCAAAAAACTGCTAAATACCTTGGTAGATGCAGGTAAGGTTGTCTTGGCAGTTCCCATCATCAGCATCAAAGTAAATGTGTCTCTAGGTCGTCAGAAGGGAGACTTCGGTACAGGGAAGTATTAGAACCCCCTCGCGTCATTTGGTATCGCAAAATATCACCATTTACTTCCTTGCAATCATACAGATTATCCGGGGGTTGCACCATTGTACGAGAAAACCGGTAGGCCCTATATCGTGATGTTGTAATTTTGGAAACTCCTCAACTCTCTGTTAATTGTTTCTTCCTGTTTCTTTTCATTGAGAAGTAATAAATCCCATTAACTATGTGATATTGAATTCACGATTAGCAAATTGATTGGGACAAAGGAACACACTTTTGTTAAGATATTTACATGGGAAAGTACTGTTAATTGGGGGAACAGGGGTTGTGATATTGAATTTGAAATGAACAGCAAATCAACTCTGAAGCGCGCGCTCTGTGTATCTTATCAGTAGATGCCAATACGAAGAATTTCAAAAAACGAAATATTTGGACGCCAAATTCGAATTCATTTGCCTATTTACAATATCAAAGAAGGCAGTGGCCAGCAAAGTTACCTTATGAATATCTGAGTTCTTAAGATTTCTTGAATTCAGTAAAATACAGAAGTGGGAGACGTGGGAGTTTTGGGTGTGCATTCCCTTCTACTAGCTCCCATGCCTAGCATTATCAATTCAAAGATACTTCGTTTCTCCGAAAGAAAATGGCTGGTAAGAGATAATTCCTGTCTTGACAATGAAGAAGCAGGGTTTGATGGGTGTTAAATGATGCAAAACGGGCTTGATGACGATTTGTGCTGTTTGTACCTGTAGAAAGGTAAACGCTTTAGGCTAATAGCCTATAGCTAATAGCTGGGTAGAAAATTCAGGGGTGGCGCTAGAGACAAACCTTCGAGGTGCCGAAGTTTATATTCTCCGTAACTGCCGACGCTGGATGTGTCAAATTGCCGACAGAAAAAAATTCGATTTGCCCCATTTAGTAGGCAGGGCCGTCGCGAGGCAAGCCTCGTTGGGGGGGGGGGGGCCTGTGTAATGCAAATTTACCTGATTAAAAAATTATTGCCTGAAACTTTTTAGCTGGTGTCACAAACCTCTGCAATACATTTTGTCAATCTAACTCTGTATGATAATGACCGACTTTTCTAATAGTCTTGTCAAATCTCTATATCGGGACGGGCAAAATATATAGTTACTACCTGAGGCGGCACCATGGTTGCCGCCGAAGGGGCAGGAAATTTTCGAATTGTGATGCTTCTAGTTCCCTGGAAAATGCACTCTTTTAGGCAGATTTCACTAAAGCTATCCTCCAAATCCTATTGAAAATTATTGTCTTTTTGCAAAACTTTTTACAGCAGATAAAATCAACAATTTCGCCGTGGTCTCGAAAAATACCAGGTTGTCAGTTACTTTTAAATTTAGATCCCTCTCTCCATCTTAGCATGCCTTATGAATGTTAAGAAAAATCTGGAGCTCATAGTGAATTGCAGTTGATGCTTCTACTGAGAAACTTTAGGAGAAATGGACACGAGGCACAATTTTAATTTTAAAAATTTTAACAATTTTAAAAAATTTAACAATTTTAAAAATAGAGCATTTTTCCAAAATCGTTTGTTGTGGGTGCAAAATTCTCCCTTGCCCCCTCCCCGTCCCCACTTTCCAACCTGTGTCGGAGTCCACGAGATTTTCTCGGCAATTTGTGCCTTGTAAGAAACTTAATGCGCAAATATTGCCTATTGTTGAATATTTCTTCCTATCTATGTTGGAAGAAATTAATCGATGGTTTTCTCTAAACCATTTGTTTGTCGCAAGCTATGCGGTGAACAATGCTATTGAAAAATAGTTGATGAAATAGGACAAGAAGTGCTTTTTGAAAAATTTATTACGCAAAATGTGCTCATGACCGAAATGTTTTCATTGGCAATAATAATGTCTTGAAACGAAAAGAGAATCCCTTAAGAAGAAAATTCATTAAAGACTTTATTTATAACCGAGAGGAGCACGATGGTATTGTGGGTCATGCGAAGGAGCACCATGAAATTAAGTCACAGCTTTCACGGAAGCGACAGGATATAATGACACTATGATAGTAAAACTGCCGAAGAAAAGCCATTAAGAAAACCATAAACCATTTTCTGAATATCTATATAGAAAGTCGAGATGAAACAGGAAAATACACCATTTGCTTGATAATTGACGAAGAGGCCGTCGAAAAGAATAGAAATATCAATATTCTCGATAAAAATTTTGTTCTTTGATATGTACTTTACTTTTACAATCTAGGAATATTTAAATCAAGAAAAATTTCGAATGAAATGAACTTAAAAAAATTGAAAATGCTTCCAAGCGAGCTACTTGTATGGAAACTTAGAGAAGATTTTCATAACCACGCCCTCTCCCCCCTTTATGAATTAGCCCCAACCCAAAGGGCTTATTTGAGGATATATGGTACCCATTTAGTGTCACTCTCTAACTAAGGTATTGGCATAGAATCTTAAATACGGTTAATAACGTCCTTAAGGATATATAGTCTGATATGAGTTAATTTTCATAAAATTATACTCTAAATCGGTAGATAATACAGGATTATAAAATTGAAATATACTTAATGAAAGGTGATCACTGAATATCAGCACCCACATTAACATCAATAAAAAACAGTACCTGTTACATTGATTCTGAAGTAAACTTTTCCAGCATATTTTCAAAGGCATCTTTTTTCATATTCCTTGATGAAATATGTCTAAGACAACCATTTCTTAAATTTTGGACATCAGACTCAGAGATGATATAAACAATCTTGATTTCTCCATAGCCGTTAAAATTGGTGACACACGAGAAACTATAGGCCCCCATATCCTCAAAAATGAGCAAATCACCACTGTCCATCTGCAAGGAAGGAATTAAAATACATATGAATGATTTTTTAGCATCTAGCATCTTTCCATGCAAGGCCAACATCCAACCAACGAAATACTTTATTCATAAGTCTCTTTATAAACCTGAGGCTGAATCGCTTTGCTTTTGAAAATTTGCTATCGATGGAATCGCCTAGTTTCCATACTGCTCGACCTGATGACGTAATTAGTTTTCCATAAACCTAACCCTAACACTAAACCTAAACCTAATCCTAAACCTAACCGTAACCCTAACCCTAACCCTAACCCTTAACCTTACCCTAACCCTTTAGTTGAAATAATTAATCATACTAATTTACGACTATTAATCATGCTTATTTATGACTATCAGGTTGAGCAGTATGGAAACTAGACAATTCCATCGATTGTTAGTGATGGAAAACATTACTTGGATGCCAATTTTGTAACCGATCTACTCACAAAGACAATATAAAGTGCTTTATGAAACCTGTTTAACCTGTTTAAACTGTTACCCCTAGTTCGTCTGAGCCAAGTTGAACACCGATATATGTTCCCGAATGCTCCAACTCACGCTGAATAGGAGCCACAGCCCCATCCAGGCAGTAGTGTTATTAAATGATGACATCAAAACAATCAATTGTCCTGACATAATTTTAAGGAGAATGGCTTTGAAAAAAGCAAACATTTTACGACATACTAAAAGCTTTTTTGTCTGACACTCCTCAGAGCATAAAACGTTAGAATAAGGTTCCGAAAGAACACGATAGAAAATAAAAACCCAGTTGTGGATCGAAATAGGCCAATCAGAAAAACGCAAGCACAAGACCGGTAAAGTTGACCAATCAGTGCCGCGAGCCTAAAGAAAAATTACCAATGGAGTCCAAGAGAGAAAACAAACTCTTTCTGTCTACACACTGGCGGCTTTTTCGTTTTTATATAGATCGACTCCAAAACTGCTAGATGGAAGGACGACCGGGCTCTGCCAATTATCCGAAACATGTCGTCATTATAGAGTTTTGCACAATCTGGGTTGTCTAAATCTGGGTTGTTTAAGGAGAACTTGTCACTACACATTTTGATGAAGATAGGGTGTTTTCGGGGTATTTTGATGAAGAGGGATACACGGGAAATTTTTGCTGACAACGCTCTTTATTTTCCAGTCAGGTATATTCAGGCTAGCATTTGTTATCATTCTTTAGATATTCATTTTAATACGTAAAGTTTGCTGGCCATTACAATCAAACGTTTTATCATAGGACACTTTCACTGTCTAACACTGCATAAAATCATTTTATCACCAAAAAAGTGGTTATCAATACACCTTCATATTAGGTATGCTCTCTTTAGAATGGCAAACTTCAGGAAGAAACAATAGGATTTTCACAAAAGGTGTGCGAGATTTTCTTAGAGTGATTTACTCCTCGGGTAGAATTCAATCAAATTTAAAAAACCTACCTTTGGCAGTCGAAATCCTTCACCGATCAAGTCCGTTTGACTACATGTTGGCCCCCACAAAGTAGACAAATGCAAGGTTTCCTCTTTCTTGCTCTGAAAAGGTATTAAACAAAGACTGAATCCAAAAAGTTATTTGTTTAAAAAGTGATAACTTGAAAGCGATGGAAGCAAGATCATAAAACTTTTATAAACCCCCTCCCCAATGGCTTATAATTCCTTCTAACTCAAAAGTTCATTGAAGTTGCGATTGACAAATTAAAGCAAGCATCGCTTACATCGCTAAGTGTGACAGACTAAACTAAGAAGCATCAAGTATCGTTGATAAATCGTGGAGCAATATTTCATATAGAATGTAATAATATTTCGAATAACCATATCTTTTTTGTAAATATACTCTGGTATGCAGAGCAGCTGTGCCACAGAATGACTGTGCTTAATAGGAAGCAGTAAATGGTCAGGTAGTCTTAGAAAGTTTCTTGCAAAGTTCAGTGATGTGGCATTGCCACCAATGAATCTCATCCATCAGTGCCTCTAAAAAATTTGCATGAAGTTTTTTTGGAGAGACTGTTCACCAATCTTTGTGGGGACTTTATGACGGTAACTCTAAAGGGAATTTAGCTTTACAATGTCGGATGCAAGGACGAAAAAGAAGGATAACAATAATAAGCATTGAGATATAGCAGGAGATCATTATGAAGTTTTGCTTGGTCTAGAACAAGCCAATAATGACGCAATAGACACACCCACAGCACGTCAGATGAGGAAGAGGAAAAAAAGCAAACGCTAACTGGAGGAGCTTATCAGTCACACTCTCTGATATCAGCGCCTTTTCTGTCCTGGCACCCTCACTTGGATGGTACTTTCTACAAAAGCCAATGACTTCGAGATTTCTTGTTGGTACTAAATCCAAAATCAAGAGCCTCCTTTGGTAAAATTGTACCATGTGTCAAATTTCCCTACAGTTTCTCAGAAGAACTGAAATTCACAATGAGCTCCAGACCTTTTTTACATTCAAAAAAGAAATTCCAAGATGAAAAGAGGGTCAATTGACAATTAGTAGTTCTGTTTAACTGGCATTAGAAGCAACAACAGTAACATCTTCAAAAACGTTTGCTTTTTTCAAAGCAATTTTAAGTTAGTTTTCCAATCAGTACAGCATGCCTACAGAAATTCTTGCACTGGAACTAACGCTGAAAACAAACACATCTGTCTACACAAAAGCAGTTTCATTTGGCGCAGAAGGATAAAATGTTTGCATTTTTCACAGCCATTTCACACAGGTATCACGGTGTTCAAACAGTTTTATTGCTCTTACCTTTAATGGCCTTGGTGGAAGGTCTGGGTCATAGTAGAAGAATGATCCATGTATGCCATCATTGAGATAATATACAAAGTTCTGGAAGGCGAACAAATTCTTTGATGACGTAACGGATACGCAGGTGTTTTGATGGAAAACGTAACGTTAAGCTGCTATATTAAGGTTAAAAGCATCGAATCATGATGAAAGGTGAGGGTATAACGAAAGCTTGTTTTTCACATCATGGAAATGCATCTGTTGAGATTTTAAACTCTTATTATGTATCTTTAAAGGGTTCTTGGAGCTTACCTGGTTTTCTGTCTTATTTCCATTCACTTCAGGAGTATGTTTAACAGCCGACACTCGGGACACAAGTGTGAACGCTGATTGTACGTAGAATCTTCCAGGTTCAGCAATAATTTTGACACCAAAAGATGGTGGGAAATGCTCAGCAAGTGCTTGCTGGAGAGTATTTGCGATCTTGGAAAAAAATTGTGTATCATAATATCAAAAAGAACAAGTCCATGGTTTTGTAGAGGGCTGAGTCTTGATGGAATCATAGTCACTAGAAAAAGTCCTGGTCTGGTTGCCTTTTGTTCCTATTCTTTGCTCGTGTACGACTGCCGTTCAGTTTTGGGTGTTTTCAATATATTCTTAGGTGATAATACAGGATGACCAGTTTAAATTTTGCAGTCAGGGCTTGCGGAAGGGGGGAAGACGAGCGGAGGGAGGGGGGCGAAAGGAGCATTCCCTCCACTTTTCTGCAAAAAGAAACAAAATCTTAGACAAAGGTATAAAGGAAAATAGTCCACAATTCAGTTAGTAATTTTGTTCAATAGAGGAACAAGGAATCAACAATTTCCTTCTTTTAAAATATCATCAAAAATATCGTTCAAATGCGTGCCACCTTCTGCGTCAGCCATTTTGAGGTAAAGTTTCATCTTGTCCCATACCTTGGGTCACATGACAAGAACAGATGTTTTTCCAAGTTCGCTTTGAGAACAAAATAACAGAACAGTCTTCCAGGCCAGATTTTGTCCTATTGACTATGGTGAAATAAACTGAATATCGTCTACATGTGTATCATTCTAATAACAAGCCAAAGCAGCATGCATATCATGGGTTCCAACGCAGGTTGGAAAATTGGAGGGGGAGGGGGGCAAGGGAGATTTTAATAATCATAACAACATAATTTTTAAAAAGCTCTGTTGTTTTGAAAAAAAGTGGAATCTCTGGCCCCCTTCGTCAAATGCCCTGCATATAGCAATCAAGTTATAGCGTTCGAGGAAAGTGAACAGCAATATGCATGCGAGAATGTGAAAACACTCTCTGTAACAAAATTAAGCAACTTGTTAAACATCAAAATAAATATTTCAAATAGTATATATAAAGAACAAACTTTATACGCACAAATGAAATAATCATTTTACTTTCAGTGCTACAGTTAAGGAGCGTTTTTGACTCAGTTGCTTATGTAAGGAAAGAGTATGTTAAGCAGTGGCGTAGCTAGCGGTCATGCTTGTCATGCCGGGCATGACCATCTATTTCCAGAGATAACGTTTTTCAAAAAATTATATTTTCATAAGAATATAGTCCTATTCTCATGATGAAATAGCTCAGGCCATTCGCCTTTGGAGCCCTATGGTTCCACGCAAGAATATGGAGCCCTCCGAAGGCGCCCTTCCATTGTCGGGCATGACTAAAACAGAGGGTTTCCAATTTAGTCATGCCCATAACTATGAGCATGACCAAACCCTGTGTTTTAGTCATGCCCATAACGCTGGTTCCCTATGTTTGGTCATGCCTAACAATAGGAGTGACGCAGGAGAGAACAAAGGCTAGTCATGCCATTTCGAGAAGGCATGACCATCATTATAATCATCAGAACCGTCCTGTAGTCCTGTGTTATTTCGTGAAGGCGAATGCGAGGCATCGATGGCGGCGCTGCTATGCCTAGATCCACGAGCTGGGAGGTAATTCTCTGTAAGTAAAATGCAAGGAATAGCTTATTGCCAAGCAGCCACAACTCGTGTTAATCTCCTAAACATTTTATGGCAATGACAGGGTTTTTCAGCCTTAATGGTGTTGCACTATGTGGAGAAGTGACAGGCACGAAAGGCCATTTTTGGACATAAAATCAGCGAGCAGGATCATTTTATGCAACCAAACCAAACTCTCAGGCTTTTCAGTAATCAATTGTTACTAGTTGAACATTTGCAGAGAATCTTCTTGATTTAATGAATGCCAAATTTTGGTGCTGTTCACTGGAGATGGATGGAGGAGAAAGCAGTGTTATTTTCCAAACCAACAGATTTGAGAGCTTAAACTTTCCAGACATTTAGCAGCATATTCAGAAACTGTTAAGCCCTTTAAAAGCATCGTTACCATATTATGATTAGGCCAATAAGATTGTAGTTAATGGATAGGGAATGCCAAAACTTGCTTAAAGTTATTCTTCAATTTTTTGTTTATTATCATATGCAATAACACTGTTTTTACAAAGTCAAACTCAAGCTCTACTGACTTCACTTGTAGTTGAAAGTACCTTTTTACTACTTATAGCTGTTGAAATAAATTGACCAGAGACAAGTCAAGCATGTTGATGATCTTGTTAGTTAAACAGTTTTATTTCTTTATTATAACTTTTCATGTATTTGATAATTTACAAGATCAAATTATTCCATTTGAAACTCTTGTTTGCTAGATTTGGTAAGGGCAATCCAATCATGTGGATATTTACCACTATTATATGTGGAAACATCAATGTTTTTGTTAAGCTAAACTTATTTTGCAAGGTATTTTTCTATTAAGTCTAACTTTGCAGAAAACATTTTGCAACTAGGCCTATCCATTATTTTAGCTTCCTATATTTCATATCAATATTTACATTGCATATTAATTTGCCAATTTGTTTTATTCATCTATCAGTTCTATTGGAGTAGTTAGTTAATCGTGATGGCTTTAAAATACCTTCAATAGATTGATAATAAGACTATTTGTGGAAAAGATGACCAAAAAGCTCCCATTCAGTTTCATGTGATTTATTGTTTCATTTACAAATATTAGCTTATCTCTAAAATTTACAAATGTATTTCAGCCTGCAAATTGAAAGAAAATTAGAAGAACAACACAATTTTTTATTTAAACTAAGTTTATCTACTATACTAAACTAACGTTTTTAATGTCTTTTGTACAGTTCTGTTTTGAAATTGTCAGAACATTGTCTGTATAAATTACCAACAAACCAAAACAGTGTCACAGCTATAAGATAAAGGTCATTTCATGGTGTAACAAGATGATTGCCATGAAATAAGAAAAGCTAATTCCAAAAGTTAATCAAATTTTTTTTTATAAGTCACAAGCCTTAAAATTAAAATTTTCAAAAGGAAATCATCAACTAAAAAATTGGGCGTGGTAAAATTTGGCCACACCCATATTTTTTCAAATTTGAGGGGAGGGCATGACCACTGCTATTTGGCTAGCTACGCCACTGATGTTAAGCCAAACGTGTATAAAACAATTTGTGGTCTATTGAATGTAGAATGTAGTTAATACCATAACGTACCTCTTTGAAAAGATTATCTTTCTTTTTTACACCAGGAAAGCCACCACCAATGTCGAGAATTGAAAACTTGAGTCCCATGTTTTCCTTAAAAGTTAGCAAAAATTTTAGTAAATGTTGGCTTTTTTCAACGACCAATGTATGCTTTACGAAAAACATATATTAAAGACTAGATTTGCTACACTAAAACGATGTACTGTAATTGTTTTCTCCAAACCAGTTTGTCGATCACTAATTATCGCAAGGATCTGGGCACGAAGGACTCAGGGGTACTATCTTTTCAACAATAGTCAGGTGAAAAGGTAGTCTCTTAAACATGATACGATACACGGGCATCGCAACAACCCCATGCATCCCCTCCCCTGCACTCCAGGGGGATATATTCAGCCCCAGACCTCAACTTGTTGGACATATTCTTTACTTTTCAAACTTAATTTATTAGACCCTTGGCACGTCTTGTGCACATTTGTTCACTGAGGACAATCTTTCAGCCACATCTTTGTATTACTAAATGGTGTTTGTCTCTACTCTTCCTTCTCCTTTTGTTTCCCTTTCTTATTTAACCCACAACCCTTGTGCTCCCAGTTCTGCTGTCTCCAAGCACCCTATGATCATCTATTTCTCCCTTATCTCTTGATCCGTATCCCTTGTACCCCTATTTGTCAATATGTAACTGTTTCACATAATAATAGAAAAATACCGCTTCATCAAAAACTGTTCTTGCTGCTTTGACGGCATTACGAAACATTGTTGGATGGGCACAATCACTGCCAACGTGGAAACTAAAAATGAAAATGGACTTCGTCACTTTGTGATTTCCATTGCGCAAAATGAAAATGGACTTTGTGGTTGATCTGAAAGAGTGTATTTTAAGAAAAAGTGGCGGAGATATTTATAGGATAACAACAAAAACAACAGATTGGTGAAATTAAAAGCAAAATGTCGTTGTTCAAGACTTTAAATGCATTTTAAAAATTGTTCCTTCTTTGTTTTTTAGGCTGAGATACTCTTGGTGCCAGAGCCCAGAAATACTCGCAATACTTTACTTTATTGAATATTTAACTTGGGGGTAAAGCTGAGAGAGAAAGAAGATAATTGCGCTCTAAATCTTTACAATTCGATTGTTGTAAAGACCACTTGGAAAAAAGGGGTACCAACTAGAGAAAAAACGGAAAAATGCTATCCTCACAACATTGCTTTGGTTATGGAGGGTGTAAATTTGATGGTCACCTTACCAAGCCCGTCTTCTGAAGAGTAAATTATAACTAATTTATCAAAAGCCAATATCTAGTATAAAACAACTGCGATGAAAGAGCAGAAATATCCTTTCAAAAAAGGTATGTTGATTAAAAGTGTATATCACCTAAATTGCAAACTTTGCGATCCCTTACTATGATGCGCTGTTTACGAAAATCGAATTGATAGTTTGCTATTTCTTTTGCTTTTCCCGTTGTATGCGCGCAAAAGTGGCATTTGCCCTGTCTGGCGAGCACCAAACCGCGCCAAAAAGGGGACTGGGTCATAGTCTTTTTTGTGACGTAGAAACCAGAACCAAAGTAAAACGTACTGAGAATATTCAATGGTATATTTAGAGATGTGGATGGACATAATAAGCATACAAGGATCGTCAATGAAGTTTATGCGATTTATTCATTCATCAGTTTGCTTTCTTTGCAATCAGCCTTCAATATTTTCCTCCCTCCGCATTCCTATCAGCTTATTTTTATTTGCAATCAGTCAGACCTGACCTACCCTGATCTGAGTCATATGAAGTCGAGCCTGTTCTCTCACAACCAGAAATCATCCGGAATGAATTTACTTTAGTCCCTAAAAACGGATTTAGTCGATAACATAGTCCTAGACGGGCCTAAATAAGCATATTTCCTATTTCTGCATCCACTCCACATCAGCCATTGGTTCATCAGCGTAAGCTTCTAAGCACCCAGCTTCGACGTTTTCAGTCCCCGCATGCTCATAATCTAAACTTTCATCCACTTATTCGTGATCCGTAAAGAAACTAGGATTTGACGAGATGTTGGATGCTTCGGAATCAGAGTCGGCCATAATCTAATTCGCAAGGTTTCGAAAGACGTTCTGGTTTCTACGTCATGAAAGACTAAAGCCTAGACCTCTATAAAATGCGCGGATTGGAGGCAAAAATCAGAGACTTTGGGGGCCTTTTTCGAGGGCTTGCGTTGCTCAAAACGCTTTTTAAATTTGATATTTGAACTCAGCGCAGTTGTTTCAGTTGGTTTAATCTCTATCCCAAATTAGGTGAAATGCACTTTAAAATATACATTTCTTTATGAGTACCTCACACCAATGACATTCTGATTGTTTTTCTTTGCTAACTTGAGTAGTGCCTCGGAGTCTTCCGCAGCAACTCCAAACTTTTTCCCAAGCTGAAAAAATTATTTGTGCAAAAAAATTAAATATATGCGCAATACATTGTCCAACGTATTCAAAAAACACACTGAACAATTTATTGTTTAGCTAAACATTTTCATACATTTATAAAGATTCTGATTGATTGATTGCCTGATTCGTTGAAATAATTAATTGATTTATGCCCTATGCACATACCGTAAATCCTCGATCGCCCCCCCCCCCCTTGAAAAAGTACCCCTTTGAAAAAGGCTCCACCCTAGAACTGAAAATTGTTAATAAGCACCCCCTCCTCGAAAAAGCCCCACTGCTACTGTTAATCGTCGAATTAGCCCTCCTTGATTCGTTTATCGTTGCCATCTGAGGTTGAATCAATTTTATAAAATATCTGGTGCGGGTACAGCTTTGAAAAAGTTATGACGAGGGCGCGGCTAGAAAATGCTAGATTTTCCCACGCAATCAATGTAGCAGACAGGAACACTTGTGGTAGTATTTTCTAGTATAAATATCCAGTCCAAAATTGTATTTATTCTAGGTGTAAATTGTTTATACCCACTGTAAATAAATCAATAACGATAACAATAACAAAATCTAGGGAATCTCGGGAACCTAATTACCTTGAACCGGGATTTCGAGTCATCGACACGGATCCGTATTAACAGTTCCGCATCCGGGTAAATTTTTTTGATTTTATGCAGTTCATCTTCACAGTCAAACGTCATCATAGCAACTTTGTTCTCGGCTGCATAACGTAAATGCGATGCCATTTTGACGGTATGCGCAAAAATGATGCGATCTGGCGACACACCCAAGCTAAGTACGGCCTCCATCTCACTTTTACTGGCACAGTCGAATCCGAGGCCATAATGACTCAACAACTTTAAGACGAGCCGCGCTGGAACACATTTTACAGCTGAATGAAATAAAAAATTTATCAGTGGCAGGCGATGAATTGTAATTAATATCAATTTTGAGCGGATGGAACTAAAAAAGTAAAAGCACGCTCGCAATTGATTTGAAGTAATGAACAGTTACCCACCATAGAATGGCTGTACATTTGGAAGAAACTTCTTGAAAGACGCAATTCTTTCAAGTATTTCGCTAACATTTCCAACGTAAAATGGCTCGTCGTTGCCCTGTGTGGAAAAAGGAAAAATTTGTAAATGCTTTTATGAAAGAAGGAAAAAGTCATAGCAAAAATATAAAGAATGGCAGGGAATTGAAAAAGAAAGCGAGAAGAAGCAAGAAAGAAAGAAGCCAGGGAACACAAGGGGTATTCTGAACAGCACAAGGGATATTTCTTAGGGTGGGGACCACTTTTGTCTTATTCAGCAAGTCAAATTGTTTATGTTTGCCTTGTTTCTTGGCTTTTTAGCTAAAAGAAAGGATTTTACCACAGTAGAGGCCCTATAAGGGGGAAGATGTCATTTCAAATTTCATAGTGATATCTTGCAATTATTTCATATTTCAAAATTAACAAAGCAAAGTATTTTGAAATTGTCAAATGTTCCATTCTGCCTTCATTCTTCCATTCTGAAAAGTTGGACCGACTTACATACAAAATGGACCAAGTCTTCAAAACCAATTTTTGCAGCCACAAACATTGAAAATGTGTAAAGAATGGATGCATAAAAAGTCAAATAGATTCCGTATGTTTCTAAGGCTTAAAATGATCAGTGGCATTTATTTTTATGATTTAAACTTTCATCAAGTTTAAAAAAACAGTTACAGTGGGCCAAATTCTATTTGCAGTTGCGTGTTTGTGGCTTTTCATAATATTGCCGTGCATAATCACTTTTACTTAGCATTACTTATTGGCGCCATACTGAAATCAAAGGTATGGTCAAAAACAAAATTTTCAAGATAAGAATAACCTAATAAAGCAATGTAGATAAAAACATTTGTATGATGCTATCTGGTATTTTCGTCTATTTCGTTGAGATAATATCAGCCAAAAGTATTTGCGGTAGATTTTATGCTATTGGTATTTTTGTTAAACGTAAAGTATGAAAAGCCTTTTAAACCCAGGTGTAATATGGTTGGTATCTTAACAGGTCTACAGATCAATAGTCATTGAGTCAATGCTTGAGATCAATAGTCTCTTTTATCTTTAAGTATTTGTAATTACAAACATGCATTTTTTCCTCTCTATGTTATGGCCCCGGAGTAGACAGAGTTAATGCTGCCCGGGGCATCGCCATTGTAGTGTATGTAAAGTAGCTTGTTATGTAACTTTTTGCAATGTATAAATTGTCAATGCTGTTATCAATTAGATAATTCTCACACAACATTTAAAGAGGTATTCAGTTATTTTGTTATTCCACATTTCATACTGGAAACCAAAGTTATTTCATATTTAAAGACTCAAAAACCTAAATATTTATATTTTCATCCCGAAAATCTCAATCATTTCATATTTCAAATACCCCTTATAGGGCCTCACAGTAAGGCTACTGAGTACTGGACACAAGTACCCCAGTCTAAAAATAGTACGAGGGTTTTTTTCCCAAAATATATATATATTCTATCTTGTTGCGCATATCGAAGTCTGTATTTTCACCAAATTTCATGCTTTTATCACAATTAGCACGATTGCTACCTGTCATGGCCCTTATCAAACCCATCATCAAATACATCAAAACATTTCTTCGTGTCCACCCCTTTATGTCACAAGGTCACGTGAAACAGTGGTCTGCCCGCGTTCTCGCTCAGCCATCGGTGAGGGCAAATTTCGACCTTTAAAAATTTAATAACTCAAAAACTACGCAAACAACATAATAAAAAATCCAAACGGTTTTAAAATCAGCACGGGAACCTTTATTATTGCACAAGAAATCGTTGTCCACTTCATTTCCCCTTTAGAGAACAGCATAAAATAAGTCACAATATACAACGCTTAATAATCTGCTAGAATGCTGCGAGGGTCGCGAATTAAAGACATCTGAAGTCGCCAAATCGAATTTAATGCAGTTCCACGCCAAAAACAATAGGCAACCATTCACATGCAACGGCTAGCTTCTCTGAAGCTTTCTAACAAACAAATTTACCCTGGGTTCGAGAGCGTCAAAACCCAAGGTAACAAATAGGATATGGTATCATTTCCGAGTTCCAATCGCGTGAGAGATGACCAGAAAAGATTTGAAGTTAAGCATTCAGCCTCAGTAAATTAGTGGATATCGGTCGGAAATTTCCAATAAATTTTCATAACATTTAAAAAACGCATACCTCATTTTGGAATAATTTTGCTTGATCATCGATGAATTTGCTCATGTGAAAGTCGTCAGAAACAACTTCCAAGTGAGTAACGTCCTTCAACAGATCCATCTGACACAACAGCACAATGCTTGAGATCTGGGTTTCAAAAAACTAGTGAATTGAGAACCTGGTCGCCAAGAGAGGGGCAAGGGGGCAAATTTCCCCAAGGCCTCGGGGTCTAGGGGGCCTCATAAAGTAATGAATTCAATTTGAAAAATGGAAGTAATCAAAAGTAGCAAAAGATTGCATGGAAATAGTAAAAGGTTTTCGAAGATTGCAAGAAATGACTGCGAAAAATATTCTGAAATGCATTTTAAGCTAATCTAAAGATTGAGACAAATTCAGACCTAATATATTTGCAAACAAATTCAGACCTTACATATTTGAAATTTCCGACAACAATTTATAAATGTCAAGTGGACACACTTTAGGTAAGGAGAAATAAAGTCGATAGGAATTGTACAACAGATTTATATTAGATTTAAACAATATATTTATAATCTCACAATATATTTGAATAATAATTTGTCACGTAGCGTCTGATTACCGCCATGTCCTTATATGGATATCTTATTAATAATGGGAAACGCCAAATCATCCTTTGATATCGGACGTTCATTTTAGCATGCAATTGACTATCAACTTTAAGAAACGACTGTCTTGGTACTCAAACAATAAAAAGGGACTTTTTGTCCTTTTTTGTCAACCTACATTGACAGTATAAATTGGTCATAAAGAGTATTGCTATGCTAATACAAGTAATGAACGTGGAATCTTACTGAGGAAGTCAAGAGCTAGAACTACAAGTATGAGTGATAGGTCTTAAAGAGCAATCCATTACATACAGGGGCGGATACTGAATAAAAGTTGACGGTCGCACATTAACACTGCCCAGCAGGCGGTCTAGGGGGCCTCCCTCGTGGTCAAGAGCGGAGCCATGATGGGGGCCCAGTCCCCCCGAACTAGAGCAATTAGGACTGAGGCCCTGAAACGTTCAAGTTGTTCAGTCAAACATTTTTCTCTTTAAAAGGTTTTCCACATTTTCCAGCAAATCCAACACGCAGTTGAAACAAAATATCTTGAGATTCAGAAGTGTACACTTCCTGTGCACCTCTTCCGTATAGATAAAGAAAATTGGGACTCCTCCCTTTCACAACTTACAACCTCGTCCACTTTCTTCCCTTGCCAGCAATCGTAATCTAACATAGTGTTTACAGACTTTTCGTGCCGCACAAATATGTGATAACTTGAATTTTGATTGGTGAGATTTGGTAAAATATTTGCATAACCGAGAGCCCTGCATATTTGTGCGGCACGGGCGACATGTTTAAAAATCATACTGTTTACGGTCTATGATTGTCTTTGAATTTCTTCTATATTGAATTAAATTGTGGCATTGCGTGTGAGATCGACCAAGTTCGGTCCTGCGTTTATTATGTAAAGAGAGCAAAATGTATTATTTGTAAGGAGGAAAATAAAAGATTGTGGTAAACACGATTGCCTTATTTCAATGACTGAAGACTAAAACTAAATTCTGAAAATCTGACGGTCTACCGTGCGACCTGTGCGACACCCTGAATCCGCCCCTGACTACAAATGAATAGAATATAGTAAACCAAAATCTAGCAATAAATTATAATTTTGATGAGACTTAATGTAATTAATTGTCTTTCTTGTCTCGTGAGGTATAGAACTTGTCTTTTAAAATCAGCAACTGAAATAACTTTTTACACATTTTTCTTTAGCACACAGCGGACGGATCATTGTAGAATGAAACATATGTGTTAATAGTAGCACAAGTGATCCGATGCGGAGTAAACACAACCTATCCGTTTCACTCTTGATCCGTATCACTCTTGATCCGTATCACTCTTGATCCGTATCACTCTTGATCCGTATCACTCTTGCTCCGTATCACTCTTGATCCGTATCACTCTTGCTCCGTATCACTCTTGATCCGTATCACTCTTGATCCGTATCACTCTTGATCCGTATCATCCGTATCACTCTTGATCCGTATCACTTTTGATCCGTATCACTCTTGATCCGTATCACTCTTTGATCCGTATCACTCTTGCTCCGTATCACTCTTGATCGGTATCACTCTTGATCCGTATCACCCTTGCTCCGTATCACTCTTGCTCCGTATCACTCTTGCTCCGTATCACTCCGTATCACTCTTGCTCCGTATCACTCTTGCTCCGTATAACTCTTGATCCGTATCACCCTTGCTCCGTATCACTCTTGATCCGTATCACTCTTGCTCCGTATCATTCTTTGCTCCGTATCACTCTTGCTCCGTATCAATCTTGATCCGTATCACTCTTGATCCGTATCACTCTTGATCCGTATCACTCTTGATCCGTATCACTCTTGCTCCGTATCACTTTTGATCGGTATCACTCTTGATCCGTATCACCCTTGCTCCGTATCACTCTTGCTCCGTATCACTCTTGATCCGTATCACTCTTGCTCCGTATCACTCTTGATTCGTATCTCTCTTGATCCGTATCACTCTTGATCCGTACGTAGCAGTGTGAACGGGGCCAAAGTATGGCAGAAAAGAAACGCTAATTTCGCTTGGTTTCTCAAAACACGTTACCAGTGTCGTCGAGTAAAAGAGAAGAAAAGGCTCTAAAGCCCAATCTCCAGTGAGAAAAAGTCTTGCGAAATTTCGCTGCGAAATACTTCACGCGACAAATTCCTTTGAATGCTTTTGTTGACCTCACGACGTTGGAATGTAAAGTTTGGAAGCGTGACAAAAGAATACGGAATATGATTGGCTGTTGAAGGATTTCGCAAGCGAAAAGCGAAAAAGTTAAACTCATTTTAACTTTTTTTAGCAGAGAAATTCTTCGCGAGAAATCCCAGCAAAAGTTTACTGCGCATGCCTAAGACGTATTTCGCGCGAACTTTTTCGCATTTCGCATTTTTCTCACTGGAGATTGGGCTTAAAATCAAATGTAACATTTGCGAAAAATGTCTTCCCAGCATGAAAAATTAAATATAAGGAAACCCAAACATAAAGTTCATGACATCATAAGTAAGAAACTCTTAAGAAACAACGAGTATTGAAATTTCCAGAATATTGAGAAACTGGAGTACTCAATGTCGACCTTTGTTTCTTATAAAAATAACGAATGTAATACAAAAGAGAAAAGGTACTTACATACGAAGGGCTCACACAAAAAACGCAACCGAATGCCAGTGGTGAATGTTCGCAATTACCAGTGGCACATGCGCTCACATCACTCAAAATTAACCTGGTCCAATAGAAAAGCGATATCAGCGCAGCCGGATAAAGTTATTCGAATGTCGCCCCTTTGTCTTTTTTTAATTTATGCAGTAGGATTCACAGTAGAGATGGCAAAGGAAGCAAGTAGGAGAATCTCCTTTTCAATTACCTTCAAACAAAACTTGATTACAGTATCATGGAATGCTAAGTTTCGGGTTTAAAACTTGCATAGTTTATAAGATATGGAGGATGATCCGACGGAGGACTGAATAGAGTTACCCCTGTCTAAAAATAGCTTTTGGGGGCATTTTTCAAGTGGGGTATGCATCTCATCTTATTCAGCATGTCAAATCGTGTACGTGTACAAACTTTCATGCTTGTATCATAAAATGCACAATTCAACTGCTAAGCGGCTGCACCTGTAGACAAAGTTTTGGTTTGTTGGGGTAAAATAGTTTCTAGTTTGCAATTCAAAGACAACCCATCTTTTATTTTACGTTTAGATTTTTGTACCGTTGGTTCCATGTCAGGGTTTCGTCGAACGTTACTCCTAGCTACTTAATTTTATGCACCCTGTTTATTGCTTCCCCCTTTACCTGTAACTCCACAGGCCTGTCGACGCTGAGCCACTTGTGTGACACCCCCCTTTGACACGAGGTCCCACATGACTGCCTCTATAAAAAGGCAATTGAAGATTGTGAAATAGGCAATGACTGTCAGTCTACACGTTCTAATTTTAAAATCCATTGCAAGAGGGTTATAATAACCATGGGCTCCGACAAAAGTTGAAAAGTGGGGGGGGGGGGCAAGGAAAAAATTAACACCCATAGTAAAAGATTTTGAAAAAAACTCTATTGTTTTGCAAAAAAGTTGAGGGGGGCCAAGGCCCCCCCGGCCCCCCTTCGACGGAGGCCCTGATAACAATGATAATAATGAAAACGTTTCGGGTATTCTAGAGACCTTTATGTCATAAAATCAATAAAGGATCAAGCAACGGTGGTTGTTCCGTTGGTTAATTATGATATTCCTTGATATGAATGAAGGTAAACATTTGAAGATTTGAAGATTTCTTGTTGGCACTAAATCGAAAAATCCAGGCCCTCTTTAGGTAAAATTGTGTCTTGTGCCCATTTCCCCTAAGGTTTATCAGTAGAAACCTTCATGTGCAATTCACTATGAGCTCCAGTTTTTTTAACATTCAAAAGGCATGCTAAAAAGGAAAGAGGGATCTAAATTGACAACCAGTGCTGCTTGTGTAAAACCACGAGTTTACGAGGGTTTTACAGGCTTGTGTTCGCAGATTCAGCAGTAAAAGAAAGTACAAAATTCAATAAGCGTGTTCTGATTTCTTGGCTCGACGGTTCTTATAGTTTCATCCAATTCAACAACGACTAAACGGATCACTTCGGCAAAACTGTTATGTTTTAAACTTCTCGAAATAACAACGGCTATCGGAACATCTGAAGTCACGTCTAAACTCTAATGACTAAATTCAACGACTGAATTACTCACAAAAGCCAACAAATATTTTACTCAACAGCAATAAAGATAATTAGGATAGTTATACAAAACAGAACAAAGGAGCTGATCGCAAGACAGGATGTACATGGAAATTGGCCAAGATGCGAACAAAAGTCAATCAGGCAAATGAAATTCAAACAGCAAACAAGCAAAAATTTCCTTAACGAAATTCTGTCCTTTCACATAACTCTCCCCTTCAAGGACAAGCGTCCTCGCTTGCTTCAAGTGACTTTACAAAATTGTTTGGTACCGCTTGGCGTGTTATGTTTCCTGACAATCTTGACAGTCCTTTTACACTTGTTACCTAGCTTCAGAAGTAACTGACAAAATGGTATTTCTCAAGACCACGGCGAAATTGTACCAGCTGTTTTCATCTGCTGTTCAATTTGTGCTTGGAAGAGTGCATTTTCCAGGAAACTAGAAGCATCAAAATTCGAAAATTTACTGCTCCTTCGGTGGCAACCATGATGCCGCCTCGGTGGCAACCATGATGCTCGCGACGTTCTTGTTGCAGGAATTGCCGAAGATGTGAAGGGAGCTCATAGAATGATTCACAGGAAACAACCTTTCAGCTACCCTAATACAATCTTGACTAAGAATAAATACATAAATTGAATTTAAAGAAAAATATAATTACTATATATAATGCTGTTTTTCCAGAGGGTCGTGTTTAAATATACGAATCTGTCAGCTCTTCAAGTACTCCTTCAGTTGCTTTTTAAGGCGACAAATAGTCAGGAGTTCTCTAATATCAGTCGTTCCAAACTTTGAGAGCATCTTTGACAGGAATATAATTCTTCATTATGGTTTCAGTTGGCTCCATCTTTTCCCACTTTTCCTCTGATCGATCGATGAGTTTTTCCAAAAGACCCCGAGGAGTTACTTTTTTCTGCTCCCCAAACTCTTCAATATTCTTCAGGAGACGATCTAAAATACCTTTTTCTGTTTTACATCCAGCGTTGTCACTGAGTCGTTTTTTCGAACAACCAAGAACAGCAGCACATCTACAGACACATTCAAACTCTCCTGTGATGTTGTTGGAATCTGGAACACTTTTGCTCTTCATGCTTCAAGTTTTTCAGAATCCCTTTTCTTGATCAGGTCTCTTCTTAATTGCCATTGTCTCACAACCTTTCGCGCAACATGGCACCTTTCTGAATCCCTGGCAATTTTCAGTATCACTTCCTTATTCATGGGCTTTTCAATGTCTTGATTTTTGATTCCCCTTTAGCGTGGATTTTTGAAGCAAAAAATGTACATTATGATCTGTGAGATAAAAATACTCTTGGCATTCCAAAAGCCAAGACAAGATTCTTATGGTATAGAAGCTGTGAGATATTTAGGTCAAAAGCTGTGGCAAAATCTCTCTTACGGTATCAGAGAGTCCCAATCATTAGCATAATTTAAAAGCGAATTAAGAGCACACCCTGTAGAATGTGACTGTAGATTATGTAAAATATTTATTAATGGGTAAGGTTTTATTTAGAATATTATACTTAAAACATTTTAACATTGTACCATATATTTATTTTATACTAATTCTTCATAGAAAGTTGGCCTTAATTAGCTTCTTTATAGCTGTTAGACTTTCATTCAGTACGCCAGCTGTAAGCAAATTATATATTTTTATAATATTGTTGTTTATTATTATCATTTTTCATCACAGGAGTAAAAGGTCAACCGGTCCCAGTTGAACCGTTGCCTGTTTCTGAGAAGGGAGGCAAGGCTTTTGAATCTTCCATGTCTTTGTGCTTTAATAGGGTCAAAGCTTCAGTAATGACAGCCAAAAAAAGACGTACATTGTCAGCGGCGAAAAAACATACATTCTGAAACGTCACTTGAGGATAAAAAAAGGCCCCTATCAGACGTCAGAATTATTCGGGGGACTCAATAGAATCGACGCATTATATAAACGACAATGGGATCACAGAATCGTTGCCTTTAGTGGAAATAAGTATGTTTGTTAGCTTCAACTATTGATCAATTGTTTCTAGTTATCAAAACTCAGATATTTAGGTCAAAAGCTGTGGCAAAATCTTTCTTACGGTATCAGAGAGTCCCAATCATTGGCGAACATTTAAAAAATAATTAAGAGCACACCCTGTAGAATGTGACTGTAGATTATGTAAAATATTTATTGATGGGTAAGATTTTATATAGAATATTAATACCTTAAACATTTTTTACCATTGTACCATAGATTCGTTTTTTACTGATTCTTCATAGATAGTTGGCCTTAATTAGCTTCTTTATAGCTATCAGACTTTCATCTAGTACGCCAACTGTAAACAAATTACTTATCATTATCATTACATATATTATTATTGATTGTGATTTATGTTGTATGGATGATTGGTAAAAACGAGTGTCAATCGCAGAATTCCTTAATTGTTTTTAGAACTGTAACTTCTGTGCCTTTTAATTTCTTTTCTGAAACATCAATGTTTTCTCAAAATCGACAACATTATCAATGAATTTTCATACGTGAATGGAAATGGATAACATTTGCCATAACAGAAAAATTAACTCATAATATTTAATTCTCACAACTGTACAGATGTAGCGAGGAAGACAAATACAAGTTCATATGTTCATGTCATATTCAATCCAACAACTGAACTCAGTGCTTCCAAAAATGAAAATGCGGGTTTCCTTAAACGAGGCTGAAATTTCCTCAGATTTCCTCAGACGTCATTTGAAATTTCCTCGGATATTTTCTTGAAAGTTCGAAACTTAATTTAGAGTGAACATAGCGATTTTCGTTAAATTGAAGCTTCATTTCAGCTATAAGCTTATAGTTCATGTCTATAAGTATGCTGTGCATCTGATATTTTTCAGTATCAAAATATGTACCAAGAATTGCTAGCTGACTTTGTGTAGATCGATCTTTTTTCTCGTCAATGATCAAGGAGATCGTGTTACCTTGTAGCTTTGGAGAACCTTCTCTTAAAAAATAGAACTTGACGTATAAGGTTTGTTGTCTTCTGTTTTCCAAGTTAGGCTCTGCCTAATGTCTTATCCTTGGGATATATTGATAGGCAAATTTTTTTCTGCAATGAAACTAGCAATTTTAAGTTCCATCCTTGCGGCTTTCTTGTCATTCGGGCCAGGCATGGAATCAATTTTCTTGTTTGTTGTTTCCAGTGTTGCTGACCTTGCCATAACCTCTTTATGGGCAGGGTCTTGATATATGGCTAGAGCTGCTTTAGAGCAGCATACTTTCATCTTACCCACTTGGCACTAAGGTTGAAATTTGCCACTGTCATTAGTTATCTTCTTCAACCATTGCTTAAATGTAGGGATTGCTAAGCCATGAATAATGAAACTTTTGTTCATATTACTTTTTGGAAGGCTTTACCTTCGCTTCAACATAATTACGTTTCATTTCTACTCGCTTAACTCCACCATTTTTTAACCAAAGAATGGTGGACTGATAAAAATAGTTAGCAGTAGCTGACCTACGCCAACAACACAGCAGTCCAAAGGGATTATCTGAGAATAAGGTGCATAAGGTGAGAATAAGGTGAAATTCCTTATGCACAGCAGTGCATAAGGAATTTCACATTTCAAATCGATTTAACAAAGCTGTTCTGACAATCCAACAGCGAGGAATCACAAAAAATTAAAATAAAAAATGAAATTTAAAATTTCCTTAAAATTTCCTCAAAATATCGATTTCCTTAAAAATTTCCTTAAACGGACCAAATTTCCTTAATCTGAGGAAATTTCCTTAAAAGTGGAAGCACTGACTGAACTTTACAATTTAGATCTAATCATTCTATACAACATCACAGTTTGTTAATCAACACATCAAGATAGAACAACAGACATAAGGTACAAACAACAGAGTACAAAGATTCAGATAGAGACGATGACATTATTAAATTACATACAATAACAATCAGTTCCGGGAAGCACATGCTACACAGAACTTACCCAAACAGATAAGGAACTCGTGTACAAAGACTTTGCAAATTTCCTTATAAAATATGTTTGCATATTGCATCCCCCTGCATTACACGCTTTTTTTTATAAGAACAATTTTATAAGAACACGAGCCTCAAAATGGGCCAAAATTTAAGAACAAATTAAGAACAAGCTGAGGCTAAGCTACTGTAAAATGAAATTTTGAAAAACATTTTATCTCAGAAACGAGGATTTTTAGCCATGTGTGGGTGCTTTTTTGGTGAATAATAAAACATGGCGGCAAATTGAGTTTGTCTCTACGCAATTTGTTGGCAAAAGAGGCCTGAACACCTCCCCAGAACGAAAAGCTAGAAATATGTTACAAATCTCTGCCATAATCTGGCCATCAACGTTTGAACCTTGGTCGGTTAATAGATAGATAATATGGCGTCGGTGATGGTTTGGGTGGGCCGTCTGGTCTTTGAGAGGAATTGCTTGGATATATTTTGAAAAAACGTTCTGATACCCACTTGTGTCTTTAGGGACGAATGGTAAATCAACAAAGATAAATTGCATAGAGGCGCTTGGAACAAACATTGGGATCAATGGTGCTTTGAGGGGACGTGTGTCACATTTTGTTTGCTGGCATGTTTCACAGCCTAAAGTGAATTGTCGAATATAGCCATACATGTTAGGCCAATAAAACCTGGTTTTGAGTAAACTGTACATTTGATCGATTCCAAAATTTGCCGTGTTGTGGTGTTCGGTGACAACTAGGCTTCGCAAAGATGGTGGGAGAACTGATCGACCAGGTTACAGGGCCACGGGACGCAGGTTTGAGCAGGGGGGGGGGGGGGCAAAACGAAAAAAAAAGGGCACGAATATTTTTTTCCCGAAACCTTAGTAAGTGCCAAAAATGGTACAGACCTCACAGTAATTTAGTCATTTATAAAAATAATTACATACGTTGGATATAGTGAAATTTATCTTTGCTGAAAGCAGACATGACTATGTACTCCATTTAGAGACCACGCACTCTTAATTTTGATTAATTGTATAGCTTCCCATCTCATGGCCCTCAAAGTTTTTTGAGCTTGTAAATCGATCTTCCATGTATGATTTATACTTCTATTACAATACGCTGTACTTATTTTCTTTATAATTTGCATTGTAATTGAACTTGGTCCTGGGTAAGAAGGAGGCACACATCCTTTTTTCATACTTGTGGCAGGCGCATTATACTCAACAAATGTTCAGATCTATTGCAACATACCAACGAATCCAACCAAAAATATGAACTGAATGGAAGTTTTGAATTCTTAGTCTCTATGTACTTCAAAGCGAGTTCCAGTCCCTATCTCTTTCTAAACAAAATTTCAGCCTCATTCGAATAATGATTTTAATTTTCTTACTTATATATTTAAAAATTTAGTCCCCCTTGGTATTCGCACCCTCCCATCCCCATTTAAACACAAATTTGTTCGCCTCCATGGAATATTTTTCAAAAGCTACAAATTTTATGGATAAGTCATCTTCACACAATCGGCTGAAGGTGCGGACACATTCTTCACTAACATAGCAAATTCAATTTGTAACATTGATTAGGTTTATCTCATCAGTCTTATGAACGAAACAAGTTTTTAACTCTCCTTAAAATTGATCTGGGTGGCTCAGTCAGTTGGTCAAACGTATAATATGTGAGTTCCGAAAATTTGAAAAAAGCTAGAATTCAGGGACATAGAATCTTGAAAATAGGATTGCATTCTTAATCAGTCAGAGGAAGCACAAAAGGGCAGGAATTTACTGATATGATGTTGTAGATAATTTTTTGGGTAAATCAATGGCATATTGAAGTACAACAAATTTTGCAGTACGTCTAGTCTTGTATATTGTTCTAATCCTAGATAAGAAATTTAAGTCTTTTTTAAGTCTTTGTTAGCATGTAATCATTGCAGGGACATAACTTTTTCATTTCTTCATAAAAAACATCGAACACAATGTTGTGAAGCAAGCAATATGTCGCAGCTAAAGTTTTACAGATGTCTGATTTTGTTGAAATATATGTCAAGAACCATAAAGGATTATTGTTAAAAGCAAATTTAGTGAACTCTGCTTTTTAACTTGCCTAGACATAAGTTTAAGAAAAAGAATGGCTCTAACATGCTCAGTGAAAAGTAGAGTTCACTAAATTTGATTTTAACAAAAATTCCTGCTCAAGCTTAAATATTCACAGTAAAATAAGTTACACAATTTTGGCAAAGGCACATAATAGAGTACACTTTACTGAACCCAGAATCAGAGATAGGGGTCCAGTTTTTACTTTCAAGAACACACACGATATACATTGGACCAACTGACGCCGGGGACTTGATCGGACATTTCACTAGTGATTTTTTTGCTGAAGACATACTAGAAAAATTTTCTCGCGAAACTGGCAGTCTCCTTCGCAGTTTATATTGTTCATCACAGGAGCTTGCGCTTCTTCCATCAAGACCAAGTAAAAATTTAAGGAATTTTCAGTGAATGGTCCTCCAACAACGTACAAAGTTATGTTATTTTACTTAGTTTCTAAAGGCAGAATATCTGGCAGTTAAAAATACACGCAATATATTTTTCGAAAAAGGGCACTTGTTTATACTTTTCGCAAACAGGGGGGCCTGTGCCCCCGTGGCCCCCTGGATCCAGCGGCCCTGGGTTAGGATCCCGTTTTCAATTCTTAGTTGATGTTTGACACGTTTCAATCTTCCAGTCTCGATGGTCTTTCATTTGCTCGTTCTTCAATTGAAGTAGGAAAGTCTGTCTCTGCAAACTGATAAACTTTTTCTTTCATTCACTCATTAAACGATGTTAGACCTCTGTTGGTGAATAATACTCCCAAGAGACACTAAAAATGCCAAATTTCCCACTTTTCAGTTAAGAATGCATTCTTCTCCTCCTCCTCGTAGTTATCTGGGATATTCAATGGTCACTGAGGCTTTCATCAGAAACAATGACGTTATATTTCATTTGTCAAGAAATCATACCCCCCCCCCCAACCAATCAAATAGGCGTGAGAATCTAAAAGCGTGTTCAAAGCTACCGAGGATGTCTCCATTCCTCTAGCACACCATCACAAGGATGTCAATAAACCCAAAATACAATTTATACAATAATACCAACGAAGGACTGCGACTATTAAAATAACACCCAATTCAATAAACATCAAGCCTAGACTTACTTGTAGTGCGTTGTTGCGTAGTTGCTGGCCATTTTGAAAACATATTTATGTGAAAGGCCACATCACGAGCTTCAAAATAGAGGGGCCATCAAGTAGGAAGATGTTTATTAACAATCATTATATAGTATGCCTCCCAAAGAGAATGCAGCGGCCCTTTGAAGCCACCATTTTGGGTCAGCATCAGTGTTTACTTTCTTCAACTCTACCCTTTGCTAGGATTTTGCACAAACAGCTATCCATTTCGCGTAGCATTCAGTCACTCATTAAACGATGTTAGACTTCTGTTGGTGAATAATACTCCCAAGAGATACTAAAAAATGCCGAATTTCCCGCTTTTTAATTAAAAATGCATCCTTCTGCTGCTCGCAGTCATCTGGAATATTCAATTGTCACTTGTTCGCAGTCATCTGGGAGGCTTTCATTAGAAACAATGACGTTAGATTTCATTTGTCAAGAAATCTCTTGTGTGAAAGAAAACAATTTAAGACACATGATTGTCAAGGCATTAGCATCTTTAGCACTTATTGCTGGCATCGTATAGAGATGTTCTGAGGAACAGGGGAAACATGTCAGCAAACTGATAAGGGGACAACGAAAAAGCAATAGTCTGGAGAGAGTACAGGGGTGCATCGACTTTCATTTTGGTCACCAGAGAACACTGAAAACTCGTATAAACATTAAATATACAAGATATATCAAACTAGATTAATCTGCAAAGTGGTGTTAAGTTAAAAGCTGGTGTACATAGAGGTTTCGAGCCTACTTTCACCTTAAAGCAATTTTTGTCACCGTTCAGATTTCCCGCCAAAATGAAGGGTGTGGTCTAAAAAAGGGTTTTCGAAGCTCCGCCCATATCTCTGAAAGTTCTCATTGAATCTGCAACTGAACTGCATTCACTCTAGTTTTCTAATCAAATTAGACTAGAGACTAGATAAATCAAATTAAATATCAAGATCCGATCGATGACCAATACTCCATCATAAACATCATCATATATATATATACTCCATCATCATATATATATATATATACGGAAGAGCATAGGAAGGTGTTTCCTCAGCCACCTTTGATATCATTTAAACGATGTAAGAACCTTAAAGATTTACTAGTTAGGGCGAAACTTTATAATGAGGGGGCAGGGACTACGCATAATAGGGTTGTACTCCATGTGGCAAGTCTCGATGTCAAGTGTGTAATGTTATGCGTGACAGTGATACTTTTTCTTCCCATATAACTGATAAGGAATATAAGATAAATTTTCCGTTTAACTGTGATTCGTCCAATGTTATGTATCTCATGGAATGTAAAGTATGTGGTGTACAGTATGTGGGTAGCACTTGCACGCCGTTTAGGCTTAGGTTTAATAACTACAAGGCGTGCAATCGTAAGTTTATCGGGGGCTCTTCGGGTATACCTCAGGCTGATTTTTTCCGCCATTTTGCAGGGAAGGATCATTATGGGTTTCTCGAAGATATTAAATTAACTATTATAGATAGACTTAATGGAAATGGTAGGATACGTGAAAGTTTCTGGCAGTATAAGTTAGAAACTTTCGCGCCCCGGGGCCTTAATATTAGGTTAGTTGAAACATAGTTTTATTTTTATTTCCAATCTCTTGGATTATTTTCTTCTTTTCACAGCTATTTATTATTTCCACATAATATTATTTTCTTATCTTCATGGTAGGGACAGACAGCATTCACCCTTTCTCGTTTTTGTGCATTCCTGGGTAGTTAACCATCTGCCTTCACGCTTCTCTTTTGTTCTTTTATCTATTGTATTTATTCTGTATTTCTCACCTTCAGCTGATATATATATTTTCAGCAAAAAATTACAAATTTTTATTTATATATAGATGGTATATTAAAGAAAAATCATCAATATAGAGTTAGAGTGTTGAAAGCTGCATCAAAGATAATCGTACTGACGGACATATGAAAATGATTCTAAAGAGCTTTCGAGTCGGTGACGTATTTGTATCTAACAAAACAGGACATTAAAGCTAGAAGTTAACAGCAAAATAAAAATGGTATAATGTCAATATGCTAAGAATCGTATTTCCTTTTGAAAAAATTTAATAATAATCAAATATAATTATTATTTAAAAAACAAGAAGGTATTGTATTGGCATATTCTCAAATATCTCTAAGGTATTGGCATAGAATCGTTTATACGGTTAATAACGTCCTTAAGTATATATAGTCTGATATGAGTTAATTTTCATAAAATTTTACTCTAAATCGGTAGCTAATACAGGATTATAAAATTGAAATATACTTTATGAAAGGATGAAAGGTAATCACTGAATATCAGCACCCACATCAACATCGATAAAAAACAGTACCTGTTACTTTGATTCTGAAGTAAACTTTTCCAGCATATTTTCAAAAGTATCTTTTTTCATATTCCTTGATGAAATATGTCTAAGACAATCATTCTTTAAATTTTGGACATCAGACTCAGCGATGATATAAACAATCTTGATTTCTCCATAGCCGTTAAAATTGGTGACACACGAGAAACTATAGGCCCCCATATCCTCAAAAATGAGCAAATCACCACTGTCCATCTGCAAGGAAGGAATTAAAATACATATGAATGATTTTTTAGCATCTAGCATCTTTCCAAGCAAGGCCAACATCCAACCAACGAAAAACTTTATTCATAAGTCTCTTTATCAACCTGAGGCTGCATCGCTTTGCTTTTGAAAATTTGCTATCGATGGAATTGTCTAGTTTCCATACTTCTCGACCTGATGACGTAATTAGTTTACCCTAAACCTAACCCTAACACTAAACGTAATCCTAATCCTAACCCTTAACATTACCCTAACCCTTTAGTTGAAATAATTAATCATACTAATTTACGACTATGAACCATGCTTATTTATGACTATCAGGTTGAGCAGTATGGAAACTAGACAATTCCATTGATTGTTAGTGATGGAAAACATTACTTGGATGCCAATTTTGTAACCGATCTAGTCACAAAGACAATATAAAGTGCTTTATGAAACCTGTTTAACCTGTAACCCCTAGTTCGTCTGGACCAAGTTGCAGTAGCTTGCGCCGCCACTGTTGAGGAACGCAATCAATTTAAAAAAACCTACCTTTGGCAGTCGAAATCCTTCACCGATAAAGTCCAGTTGACTACATGTTGGCCCCCACAAAGTAGACAAATGCAAGGTTTCCTCTTTCTTGCTCTAAAAAAGTATTAAACAAAGACTGAATCCAAAAAGTTATTTGTTAAAAAAGTGATTAACTTGAAAGCGACGGAAGCAAGATCATAAAACTTTTATAAACCCCCTCCCCAATGGCTTATAGCTCCTTCTTATGTTCGTTCATATGAGTTGCGATTGACAACTTAAAGCAAGCATCACTTACATCGCTAAGTGCAAGTACCTTTTTACAAAATGTCACAGACTAAACTAAAAGCATTCGGTTTCGCTGATAAATCGTGGAGCAAAATGTCATATAGAATGTAATAATATTTCCGACAAATTTGCAACCATGAATGGAATAGCTTGTCTGTTTCTACAAACGTACTACTGTAATATTCCGAATAACCATATCTTTTTTATAAATATACTCTGGTATGCAGAGCAGCTGTGTCACAGAATGGCTGTGCAACAGAATGGCAGTGCCTCTAAAAAATTTGCATGAAGTTTTTTTGGAGAGACTGTTCATCAATCTTTGTGGGGATTAATTGACTGTAACTCTACAGGGAATTTACCTTTAAATGTCGGATGCAGCGACGAAAAAGAATGATTAAAGGAAAAAAGGATTGAGATATAGCAGGAGATCATTATGAAGTTTTGCTTGATTTAGAACAGGCCAATAATAACGAAATAGGCACACCCACAACACGTCAGATGAGGAAGAGGAAAAAAGGCAAATACTAAATCCAAAATCAAGAGCCTACTTTGGTAAAATTGTACCTTGTGTCAAATTTCCCTACAGATTTTTTTGCTCTTACCTTTAATGGCCTTGGTGGAAGATCTGGGTCATAGTAGAAGAATGATCCATGTATGCCATCATTGAGATAATATACAAAGTTCTGGAAGGCGAACAAATTCTTTGATGACGTAACGGATACGCAGGTGTTTTGATGGAAAACGTAACGTTAAGCTGCTTTATCAAGGTTAAAAGCATCGAATCATGATGAAAGGAGAGGGTATAACGAAAGCTTGTTTTTCACATCATGGAAATGTATCTGTTGAGATTTTAAACTTTTATTATGTATCTTTAAAGGGTTCTTGGAGCTTACCTGGTTTTCTGTCTTATTTTCATTCACTTCAGGAGTATGTTTAACAGCCGACACTCGGGACACAAGTGTGAACGCTGATTGTACGTAGAATCTTCCAGGTTCAGCAATAATTTTGACACCAAAAGATGGTGGGAAATGCTCAGCAAGTGCTTGCTGGAGAGTATTTGCGATCTTGGAAAAAAAGAGTTTTTGACTCAGTTGCTTATATAAGGAAAGAATATGTTGAGCCAAACGTGTATAAAACAATTTGTGGTCTGTTGAATGTAGAATGTAGTTAATACTGTAACGTACCTCTTTGAAAAGATTATCTTTCTTTTTTACACCAGGAAAGCCACCACCAATGTCGAGAATTGTAAACTTGAGTCCCATGTTTTCCTTAAAAGATAGCAAAAATGTTAGTAAATGTTGCCTTTTTTCAACGACGAAGGTATGCTTTACGAAAAACATATATTAAAGACTAGATTTGCTACACTAAAACAATGTACTGTAATTGTTTTCTCCAAAC